TCTTAGAGAGAGAGAGAGAGAGAGAGAGAGAGAGAGAGAGAGAGAGAGAGGAGTAAAATTAAATCCTGGCACTGTAACTACATTTTACTTTATTTTTAAACAGCAAATTGCTAAGATAATAGAACTTGCAAGAGAAAAGCATGCAGCCGAACTGAAAGCACTAAAGGAGATCTCTGAGAGGTAAATATAAAATAACAATGCTGTTTTTATAGCATTTCATTCACCAATTTTGGAAAACAATGGCATTTTCCCATTTTTTCCTGATCAGCAACTGAGTTTTTCATTTAAATTCTTCACTTTTTTCCTTGACTCTTTTAATTGTAGAGTAGTATATATTTCCCTTATACCATTTTGCTTTTGTTTACATTTTTCTAAAATTCACCCACCCTGATCCAGTAAGCATTTAGCATACATGTTTGGACCACACATGGGATGGAGGAGAGACCAGCACTGATGCATGGTTATCTACCACATCAGTCTACCACATGTGGAAGACCAAAGAATGCTGTGATTATCAGCAGAGTGAATCTGTAACTCCAGCAAGACACCAGATTTATGCAAAATGCAAGGCTATTTGGACAGCACCTTTGTAGTGAAACTTTAATCTATCTCTTCAAACAGTACCAAACAATGAACTGAATTAGCAACTCTATCCAGACATTACTCCCTCCCATCTATTTATTTGCTTCACAAATCTAGTTCACCAATCTTATTTTATTATCTGATAGCCTAAAGAACTTAAGCTCAAAAGGCATTTGAGGAGCTCCAGTCAGGCAAAGGTCCTGAATCTGGAGCCTTCCAGAAGCATTAGATTGTAAATCCCATGCTTTGCTCATGCTGGCTGGGATGATGGGAAATGTAGTCCACCATATTTGGAGGGTATTGGTCTAGGTAGGCAAAGCCCAGGGGCAAAACAGTGGAGAGCTGCACATAGAAGCCTTTGTGTGTTGCTCCCCTCAACATCTACAGGCTGTACTCTCAGAAAAAAAAAGCAATGAATCTGCTTATCAGCTGTTCAGGCTGGATTGCTGATAATTGGGAGGGGGGTAGCCATTCTGAGATGGCTCCTTGTGCACAGACCTGGCTGCCCCATGTCTCATCTTTTGAAATGGGGCACAAGGCAAAACCTGTCATTTGGCTGGACTGACTCAGCAAAAGCAGTCTGGGAAGCCCAAAATGTCAAGGTTAGGCAATTATCAGAAGGGATTTGCATGATGTAACCTGCATATAATACATATGCATTTTCTCTTATTCCATTGGGATCATTCACCTCAGGCAAGGAACATTTTCAGTCCTGTAAACAAAGACCTTTGTGCCATACTTTTCTCCTCAGCTAATCTGTACTTCATGATTGAAATTTTCAAAACATTTGATAGGAAGGGAGATATTTGTACTATTATAAAAGGTGTTATTACTGAAATGCATGAACTCCATTGATAACATCTTCCTTTACAGTGACACAAAGGAAATGAAAAAGAAACTAGAGGGGAACAGACTGGACAAAATCCAAACCATGGCTAAGAATACAACTGACAAATGTATCCAGGAAAGGTACTTTGACAGATCAGTTCAGCACTCTGGAGCTTGTCTTGACCAGGGCTGTTGCGCACCAATGCTTATTCAGGCACCTTTCTTGGCACCTGTAAAGCCACCCTACCTTCCCCACTTCCAAAAACCCATCACATTTTCTTACCAGCATGTGAAATCACTTCAAAGGACCTTTAGCAGCTATCACCTTAATTTCCTATTAATGCTTCTGCTTCAACATAGTTAAGAGAACCACAGTTTATTGTTTGAATAATATGCCAAACTGTGGTTAATGGAAAACAAATATGTTTCTGAACTCCTCCTTGTAGTTGTGCACTCTCTATTATCTAAAGGATAACAGAGTGCAGGCTTAAGGCTCACCACTGCTTGTCCTTGCCATGCTTAACAGATGTTAGCATGTTATCTGCGCATAGGCAGAAAAAACATGCACATGCATTTGGTGCCCCTATCTTTTCCATATACTTTTTTGCTTGAGGATGGCATATATAGTTCCATTCACTACTTTGTCCTTACAACAACCCATGAAATACAGTAGACTGAGAGGGGGCAACTGGCCCAGAGACTGCATTGAGTGACATGGCTGAGCAGCGGTTTAAGACCATGGGGGGCAAAATCTAACTACTGAACAACACTGGCTCGCCACTTAACACAGGCAACTTGCCCCAAATGACCACAGCCTAACTCACTGGAGTGGGTTTCCTTAACAGAAACTCATTTGGCAGGATATTTGTCATGGTGCTACCATTAGCTTGGGCCATCTAGTTTTGCATATACCTTTGCTTAATGTGCCACAGGGCCTGAAAGGTCACCATGATTTAGATGTCCCTGGAACTGGAATAGCTAGGGCAATGCCTTCTCAGACACAAGTTGTAGTGTTACATTAGCCCTATCCTGCTGTTTATGCGAGCTCATGAGAAATAGAGGGATTGCACATTCTGGCCCTATCCTCAGTGTCCCTGTGTACTCTGAGCTGTACCCTTTGGGGTTTTTGTTCTTTTTCTGTGTGCAGTTCCATGGGGCATTCTACTTACATTCAAGTAAACAAGGGTAGAATGCTTCAGACCTTCTTGCACAACACAGGAAGCCTGGGAACTGAGCAGGTGGAAGCTGGCACATACATGGAAAGAGGCCAGGCCAGGATCTATTACCCTGAACTTTTATGCATTTTAGACCTCATATGTTCAGTCAAATCCTGAACAAGTCTCACTTATCACAATTCTGCCATGTTAATTCTAGGCAGCCACTTATGATAAACCCACCAATCTTGAAGTTAGTGAAGAGTATAAAATTTAATTTCTGATACAGTGTGTTTTTTTCTAAAGATTGAAGAGAGAAATCAATAATGCACACATCCGTGAAGTAGTGCAGATGGTCAAAAAGGTGAGTTTCTGGAACATCTCTGTTGTGTCCTAATAGAATCTGTAGGCTTGCCTACTCAATGGCTATATTCAGAGTTATGAATGGTTGCTTGTGTCAAGAAAAGCACTTAGCTCTGATTTTGGGGTATAGGATTCCATCCCACAGGGCCTCCCTGGGATATTTGCCTTGTCACAGAGAACACAGAAAGAACCTGCCTCTGTCAAACATTTAGCAGGGCAAGTGTCTTCTTCCTTCCTCTAGAATTAATGGCCAGTTTCTCTGATGCTGTATCCCAAATAGACTGTTTTGTTAGGAGTGCTTGGAGAGATGTCAAATGAAGCAAACTGAAGGCCTGAGACTTCTCACATGTCAACATATATTCAAAAATGAACTTTAAAATGGATATATATTGCATTGATCTATGAACCAACAGTTCTAGGTGGGCCTTGTCTATGTCCACACTACAGCAACAGAATCCCTGACTCTGTTAGTCTGCTCTGCACTTCCTCCCTGATTCCTTCTTCTCTCCCATATCCACACTGGTGCTGTGAGAAAAATTGTACCAAATACAAATAGAATGAAATAACATTCACCACAAATGAAAAAGTGGGATAAATAACATATAGTTTATTTCAATAAATGAATCTCTGGCCATTTATTCAGTTTTAGGGCTTTGCAAACTCTTCTGTTGTTGTTTGGTAAATTGTCAGAGGTAGACTCTGACACCCTTCTGTTATCTTCAAAGAAGCTAACAGTGAACCTTTCACAGCCTGAGGACCGAATTTAGTTTTGCAGATGCCCTCAGTTGGGTGTGTGTGGGGGGGGGGGAGGAGAGCCAAGATACCTGCATATTGTACTTATAAGTCCTTATGACCAAGAACTAAGTCTTGCAAGAAGCATGTCAGTCTTTTAGAATGGGGGGGGCACAGGAAATGAGTGACGGTTGGGTAAAAGGGACATGGCCTTCTGGAGAAGCCAGTTAGAACTCCAAGAGAGCTAGATGTGCCCCGAACCTCTTTCCTACCTGACATAATAGGCAAGATACAGCAAAAGCCCCCTAACCTGGCCAGGAATAGATGTATTTTATATCTCCCCACCCTGAAAGCAATTAGAAGACACAGCAAAACTGGTGCAAGGCAGGCAGAGTGGACAGTCCATTTCAGGGGAATGCCCTATCCTTGACCCCACAGCACCTTCTTTTCAAGACTTATGCAAGCTTCCTCCAGCAGAACCACCACAGAAATGACTTTTGGCCACCAAACTCTTGCTGGGCAAGGGAGGGGCAGCCATCACAGTGACTCTCCGCCCAGGGAGGGGCAGCTCAGCCATCTTCCTAGACCCCTCCACTGGGCACCCCAGGAAAGAGATCTTAAGCAAGTGCTGTTTTCTTCATATTTTAAAACACATAGATGAACCACAAGGATTCTAGCTGTAAACAGGAAAAGGGCAAACAATGAAAGCCTAAAGTTAAAGGGCCGTGTTCCAGTGTGTACTGAAAGTTTGATGACACAAAGCGGGGCAAGGGACGTCAGGCTTAGATGCCTATTATGCATTTCCCTACAGGCACATGACCCCTTACCCCTCTTTCACCCAGTTATTTGGAGGGTTCCTATGTTTTTATGTAGTTTTTCTTGATTTACAGTACTTGAAATGCTTGTGCAGAGGCTTAGTTACTGCCAGAGTTTAAACTTCAATTTGCTGTGGAAGGCTTGTATTTTCACCTTTCAGTGAAGCTGGGTGGGCAGGTGGGTTAGTTAAATTGTTGCATCTATATGATTATGATGAAGATGATGAGTTCTAATGTGTGTGTTTCTCCTTTAAGTTGCATGAAAAGCAGACTAAGTATCAAGAAATACTGGAAAAAAAGCAGAAAGCCTGCCTAGAAAAGATCAAAGAAAACGAAAACCAGGTATCTCTTGACAAATTTACACCAAATGCCTTGCATGGTTATTTAGTGGGCCAGTAATCAAACAGAAGATTCAATGAATATTACAATAAACCAAAATAACATTTAGATCCCTGTCCCTGAGCCTGTGCACATTAAACAACATCCACACTATGCACATATCAACTTCCCCACCAATTCAGTGGCGCCATTCTAAGTATTTAGTGCCACAAGCAGAAAACAAAAGCACATAAGAGCATAAAACATAAGAACATAAAAACACACAAAATATCCAGAGTTGGAGTTTTCTCTTCTCTTCAAGACATTTGTGAGAGGGAAGGTACAGGGAGGGTGAGGTTGAACCCTACACCCTAATAATTCTACCATGCAAACAGTCCCTCTCCTTTTCCAAAACCTATGAGCTGCAGAAGGGAAAATAGGAAGTGTCTCCTTAAAGCAGCCTCTCCTTCCAATCCAAAGGGGGGCCATTTGCCCCCCAAGACAATAACCCTGAGAGAACCAGTTGCAGAACTTCCACAGCATGCCTGTTTTGACTACAAAGATCTAGACTTCTATGAATGTTCCTGTTCCATATATTAATTATATGGCAGAAAATTTTACAACCTAAAAAGATTTCCAAGTGGTGAACAGTGAAAAAGAAAAAATAACCTTATGTGCAGGGGACAATTTCCATCAGGGCACAGGGGAGGTTTAAATCTTTCTTTTGCAACCAAGATCACAACAAAAATCACATATATACACAATGCAGTAAGTGAAAAGAAAATGCTTCCATTGGTACCAATGGGAACATTTTTGCAGGAGGGAAAGATTTTTCATGTGATCATGGTTGGGGAGGGAAAGGTTAAACCTCCCTTTCCCATGAGTTGTGGTCTCCATGATAATCATCCCCTTCCTGAACCTACAATTATGGAAAGAAAGGAAGAGGCATGCAATTAACTGCATTCACAACATAGAATCATAGAGTATTAGAGTTGGAGGGGCCCAGAAGATTGCCGAGTCCTAGCCCTGCTATGTTAACTCAGATCCAACAGCCAAGGGTGGGTTGCTATTGAAATAATGGATTATTGTGTTGTCTAGCCAAGCTAACAAACCGTGGTTTACCACAATCAATCCATGTTTATTGCTGACTTGCTCACCATCTCAGCTGGGTTCAGACAACACAATAACCCATGTTTCAACAACCCACATTCAGCCCATACCCAACCCTTGAATGTGGGTTATTATGTTGTCTGAACTCAGTCAATGTGTCATTAGGCCTTACAGATCCCAGTAACAAGCAGCAGCCCAGATTTTTCTGAGCAAGCGTCTCTGCAAGAGGTGCTTTTCAAGTGTCTGTTTGCTCTGTCTTCTTGTGCAGCTTCAGGAGGCGGCATTTGCAGAGTATGAAGAAAAGGTGAGAGCTCTCAGTGCAGAGGTGCAAGATTTAGTGAAGGACTGTGCAAGAGTGTGTTTTCCTCTGGAGGCTGACAGGACAAAAGAAGAGGCCCTAAAGACTGCCAGTGAGGGAGACCAGGGGCTGGAGCAGCAGCTGCAGAAAAACAACCCAATGCCTGAGGCGGTCAGGCAAGCGACTCAGAGGGCATTCTGGGCAGAGAATGCGGAAGAGGATGACAACTCCATGCATACACAAGAGAGCAAATTGTGAGCCTCCACATGACTCTTTAAGGATCCATTTCTCTTGTTTCCAGCACTGAAGCTCCATAGAACTTAATGATACATCTCTTACAGAGGCTTCATGGTCTTCTGCAATGTTTGCATTTTTCAAAACATGTGGAGGATAGCACCTTTAATGAAGGAGTTCCTGGGTTGAGATAATAGGATGGTCAACAGAAGAGCCGCATAAGAAAAAAACAGATACCTGATTATCTGCTTAGTACTAAATCATTTAAGATGCTTTCACCTTAGATTATGGGTTCTCTAAAACCATTATGTAAGACAAAAACATTTATCAAAATGCAACTATGAAACCGTTATGCATGTCACAATACTGGTCTTTTAATCCCCATAAAGGGTTTCAAGGTGTCCTCTTCAGCTTGCCAGTAAGCCTGGTTTCCTCCTGGCTGCAGTACTGAAATAGCAAATACGCATACCAATAAATCCAAAATTGGCTCAACCTTGAACCTTACAACCCCACCCATACTTCAAGTTGAACTGCCTGCCTTTCATATTTTTGAAGTCTCACACCAACATCCATCTATCATGTACAATTATTAACTGGTAAATGCAGCAGTGAGCACCACAAAGCCCAAGCAAGCAGCCCTCAGAGGCCCCTTTGGAGCCCTCACTGCTTCCTGCCACAAATTTCTCATCCATTCCTACTTAAAACCAACCCCTTATTCATATATGAGCAGCTGCAAGGGGAAAGTTTGATGCTTTTCCCTGGAAAGAAAGCACGTGGTAAGGCATGTGCCCTATTTTCAAGTGTAATCAAACTCTCAGAAACCTCCTGGGAGCTCAGTTTTGTTTCCGAACAAGACAGGTGTTTCCCACATGCCTTGCTTTCAAGCAAAATTGCCCCTTTGCTACTATTTGTTGGATTGAAATCCTAAACACAGGCACTAGAGAGTTTGCCCCATTGAAGACTTACTTCAGTACCACAGGATTGCACTGAAATGCAAATCCGCTCTGGGAATGGAGGAAGAGACATTGTGGCATAGAGTCTAATCAGTCCTATGGTGCATCTTCAGAGGAGTTACACCATCACCTTCCATTCCTGCCCCCCCACCCCCATACCAAATTCAAAGCTGAAAGGGATCAGATTCTCAGCCCTAGAGACATGATAGATTAGCACTGCAAACCTAAAGGTGTGAATAAAAAGTTTGCGTGCACTGAGGCTTGGGAAAAGAAGAACTCATAGCGATACTCAAAGGGAGGAATCTTATGTGTGTACATGGTATTCAGGAATAATTGCTAATATGCCTGGAAATGCCTTTCCTTTGTAACATTTCATTCATACAATGAATACTGAGCTTGTCCATAGGAATGTTGCATTTTTAGGACTGTGTTTTTATTTGCCTTCCAAAGATGAAAGCATCACTCCCCCCTACCACATGTGTGTTTGAGCAAGTACACAAAGTGAGAAACACATGACCAGAATTTGCACTCTTGTCTCTTCTATATTCAGATCTCATGGCTTTTCACTCCTTTACAGTTACATGTAAATGTCATAACACATCCCTCCATGCAATACATTTGCATTTGACAATGGTTGCTACTGAATCCATTGCCATTTGTAAGTTTAAAAAGAAGCAGACCCATAACTCCCAGCATACTTCAGCTGGCATTGCTGGCTGTGGCATACTAGCAGCTGTGGGCCTTTTTCAGTTTAAATTTACACAGGATTATGTCCTTGATGTCTCCTTAGCTTTTACTCATTGTCTTGTCTTTTCTTCATGCTTCCACCTTAAATAGTGGGGCAGTAACACCTACCAAGTTATTTCCCTCTTGACAATAGCGTGTATTTGCATACCTTTCCAGTCTAGCCAATCCCTTTGCTTTAATGCAGGGGTACAAAACCTCAGGCATAGCAGCCAAATTTAGTCCCATGGGATTCCCTGGGAGTCCCATGGATCACCACACCTCCATTCTAAAAGCCTGAAATGATTCTCCTAAGACTTACTAGCTTGCAGCATGAGCTTTAAAGCAATAATATACCGATATTTGGGTTGTTCTGGCTGCACGTTTTTTTGCTTTCATCTCTTCCCATCACTGAAATGAGGCCCCCAAACCTTCTCTAAAATGGAATTTGGCCCTTGGGTGTTCCGCACCCCGCTTTAGTAGCACCATTTCCCTCCTGTGTGATTCCTAAAATCTGCTGTTCAACAGCTACTAGCAAAAAAAGTACTGTGTTCACTTCAATTACTCAGTACCTCCTCGGGGTACTGCATGCTCTGCAATGAGACTGGATATTAATCAATCCTTTGCTGTCTATATCTGGGTCTGGGGATACTTGAACCACATGGAAAGCCACCAGAGGAATAACTTCACCCAAAGGGCCAACAGTAACAAAAGCAACTTGGAGAACAATTATCACATGTTAACAGAGGCTCTCCACTGCATTCTCATAAGAGCATCTGGATTTATTACCAAGTGTGGGTTGCTATTAAAAATTCATTTTCATGTTCTTTCCAACAGAAAAAATATTTGAATTGTGTATTCTATAAAGATTGTAAATGTTTATGCCTATGCAAGATACTGCTGGAGGATGGGTTGTTAACTGTTGATCTGAACTGCAAAGATGCAGCTGGTCACAAACTGTGGTTCAAGCATTTCATCCTGGCATTTCCCACGTCTTGCAATAATGCCCATAAAATGAATGAAAATGAATCCATTTTGTAAGCCAGTATATGCAGTGTTTTTATAAATAAACATACCCCTTTAAAGCTATGAAGAGTGCCTGTTAGTCAGGTTCTCTTGTATGTAGGCTAGCCATTACCACACCAATAGTTACCACCATCTGAATGCTAGAATTTAAAAGCTCAGTTCTTTCAGGTTGCCAGTGCAATTTATAAAGCATTCAGAGATCTCCTGTTTTGAAAAAATAAAGTTTATATGAAATAACTTTGGCCCTTTAACTAGAAAGTATTCGCAAGATCAGTTGATATAGATTCTTTCCTCCTCAACATACTTAGGGTGCAACCCTACAGGCTCCTGATATCATCTGGGAGGCCATAGGATTTTATAGAGAATGAGCCCCCAACCTCACTTCCTTGCAGCTGCACAGACTGCCTTCTTCAGGTCACAACTTGGCCTTGAAAGGGGAAAATGGAGTGGTAAGGAGGAGCCTGGAACTATAGACAGGCACTGATTCCAGTTGACAGCCCAGCCTCCTTCCCTCCCTGGCCTTAAATCTAGACAGCTGAAAATGACTGTCCAGATAAAATGCAGGGTGCAAGGCATGGCAGCACCTTGTACTGGATGTTGGTAAACCTCCAAGTTCAGAGACTTAGGAGCACCTGCGATGAGGACAACAGAAACACCCTTAAACCATCCTTGTGCTCATGATACCAATAACAAATGATAGGTTTTTCCAGCATTTCTATTCATTTGAAATGTGTTGATGCCAAGCCATGACATTTCTGGAGAAGGGTGTGGAGTGTGCGTGTTCTACCTGAACTAGAAAAAACATGGAACGATGAAGTTTATTCTCTAGCCACACTTTAACTTCCTTGGGCAGTTCTGCTGATGATGAAACGGCACCTCAGCACCTATGATTCATGCAACAGGGACCAAGAGGTTCCAGAAGCAACCCTGGTAACAACAGCTCTCTTGTTTCCAGACTGGGACATGTCTTCTACAAGCAGTGTTTGTCCATCCTGTTCCAGAAATGACAATTTCAGCTACCTTCAGATTGTCTTAAAATCACTGGCTCCTTTTGTTAGTGGTGGGACCTGTTAGCACACAGGCATCATTGGACAGTCCTTGGGGTACAAAATTCTGAATAAATGCGCATGAAATGTTAATAACCCAACCCACCCTTTTTCCAAAATATCAGACTGGGATTCTGGCCTAATAGTCACATATACCAAAAGAGTGGTATGTGGCCCAGTCTGATTAAGACACAATAGATGAGGCAAGAACTGCTGAGCTACCACAGGAAACAAATGCTAGATTTGCACAACACAGTGAGTCAGGCTGCAATGGCAAGCACAGCGTGGCTGTGACACACTGAAGGCACCCTACTCCTGATGGACATGGCAGACCATCATGCACATCACAGGTACAGTGCCTTCCCTCTGCCACCTCCACCCTTGGTCCTCCAGCGGGTATCCCAAGGGACACTGCAAGAGCACCAGCATTTCCTCTCTCTCTTCCAATACAGCAAACCCTTTCAGGCTTGCCATGACTTCTTTTATCCCTTCTCCCCTTTTACCACTGTTGTGGAGGGGCTGCTTGTGGCTGTCAAAACAAGAAGCACAAAAGGTGGCTCACTAACTGCCTTTCACAATCTTCTCTCACCCAACAAAACATATGTAAATGCAAAAAACATTGCAACAAGCCCAAAACTGTGTATGTGGGCAGAAGCCTCTGCCAACTGCCTTCAAGTGCAGCTTTGGCAACTTGAGGTGGGCAGAATGTGGGCCTGCCTTTTCCTCCCTCTTTTCTGTTTCTCAGAAATGGCATTTGGCCTTCAGGTTGTTTCCTCACCCCTGCCTTATATGCAACAGGATGGTGCACAAGCAGCATTTAAGTGGGAAATGCAGGCCTAGTTTTCATATACATGCTTTCTCACTGCTGAATGTGTAAAGGAGCCCCACTGAGTGGAAGGAATATGAGAATTCCAAGTGTGTGGGTTTAGGCAGTCATGTAAGTCATTTCTGTGATGCTGCAGCCATCAATTAATGAGCACAGCTGTAGTGATCACAATGTTTCAGGATGATGGGTTGGATCCAGTGTTAGTCATACTTCAAGCACAGTGAAGTCATAGTTCAGCTGAACTGGTTTCAATGAGTCTACTCGAGGGATGCCTAAATCTGCAACCAAACTTGCATGTTCAGGATCAGGATAGTTCAGGGTGTTTGGGAGTTCCCAGAGGAAAAAGGGCGGAGGAGATGCAATGCAGTCACCAGCACAATCTCAGACCAACATTGCACAAATTGTGGAGACAGCCTTTGGTCCCCTGGGCCTTTATGGCTCCCATCTGTCACCTGTAGGCAAGCAGGAAGCAGAGGACCACCCACAGGTGTATTGGCTTCAGGAGCTAGAGGCGTACTGCCAGCTGCAGGTTTTTCAGGGCCCTTGGGCAAGGCAGCCAGCATGGGTTCCTCCTTCAGTGAGTCTGGCTTCTCACCACCGTGTCACCAGCCACTGCTGCTCCCCATCCTCATTGCAAGCACTTACTTCCTTGAAAGGCAGAGAACCAGGGAGTAGGCAGGCTGAAGCATCTCCTGGTCTGACCATCACCGCATGGGCCAGAGTAAGGCACAGGCAAACACCAAGGTGGAAATGGAGAAAAGGGGCATGTGCAAAGAACTTTTGCCAGTGTACCTGTTGAGCAGTGTGGGTCCTTGAGAAGTGCCCAATGATGCTTATCCTTAATGCAGGTCCCAGATCCTCCATTAGAACCTAATAAACACAGATGGGGGAGTTCGCACATGCATGTTCATCAAACAGTTACTTGCATCTACAGCCACAGTTCCCTCTCCCAAAACCTAGGACAGCAGTTTCTTACTACCTTAAGCAAAATACTGGTCAAAGAATAACAGTTCAGACATTCACCTGAGGAAGGGCACCAAGTAATGCATTCTACCCACTGAACTACACCACCTCGCTATACTATAGCCCATTAATATAAGTACTGCCCTGTTCCTGCACTGCCAATTCTTCCTCCTCTCTAGATGTCATCACAGCGCAAAGAGCACATGGGCATCCCCTTTCAGGACATGCCAGCAGCCCTATTTATCTATCCCAGGGAGTCTCCGGTTGGGCGATCATGTTATCTTAAGTATGGGACGATCGCGCTGTTGCTCCGGGCATCGGAAACTCTCCGGCGACCCCACTCCCCTGACTGCCACCCACGCCCCCGCATGTAAGACGGGTAGCGAAGGTGCTTCTGCGGATCACCCTCTCCCTCCCGGAGCGGAAAGGCGGCGATCGTCATGGAGATTCGAGGCGAGGTTATAAAGCGGCTCTGGGGAGTCGCCTCCCCGAGTTGCCATTTGGTACCGAAGCACCATCGGCGGAAGCGGCGCGGCGGCGGACCACCAACCATGCTGAAGCCGCGGGACCTGGGCCCGGGAGAGTCGACGCGGACCTTCCTGGAGGCGATGAAGGCGGGTCGGCTGCACCTGGCGCGCTTCGTGCTGGACGCCCTGGACGGGGAGATCGTGGACTGCCGGGCGGACCGGGGCCGCACGCCGCTCATGTACGCCGTGCTGCTGAAGGATCCGGCGTGGCGCCTGGCCTTCGCGCGCCTGCTGTTGGAGCGCCGCGCCGCCGTCAACATGCGCGACGACGCCGGGCGCAGCGCCCTCAGCCTGGCCTGCGAACGCGGCTACCTGGAGGTCACGGAGCTGCTCGTCCAGTTCGGCGCCGACCCGGACGCGGTGGACTCGCGGGGCTGGAGCCCGCTCATGTACGCGGCGTCGCAGGGCCAGACAGCCGTCATCGAGTGGCTGCTGCGCGTGTTCCGGCGCCTCGGGCTGTACCTGGAGCGCGCCGACCACGCCGGAAGCACGGCGCTCCTGCTGGCCTCCGCCGGGGGCCACAGCCAGTGCGTGCGCGCGCTGCGGGCCGCCGGCGCCTTGTTCCTCGCCCAGCCGGAGCCGGTCCGCGGCGGCGACGCCGCTCCCGCAATCCGTGTGGACGGGGAGCGGGAGCGCCACCCGGATCGGCCGCGCCCGGAGGAGGAGGAGGGCGCGCAGCAGCGGCGCTGGCAAGACGCGGCGGCGGCAGTCAGCGCCGACCCCGAAGCGGCCAAGGAGCCCGTGTCGCTGCGAGTCCGCCCGCTGATCCGCCGCTCCACGGCGCCAGACTGTCAAAAGCTGATCGGCTGCTGAGCGGCGCGCCTGGAAGCGACCCTAGAGAGGGCGTCGCGCGTCTGGGCTCGTCGTCTGCCCCGCCCGGCCTTTCCCGCGTTCCTCCTCGGCTGCCGATTTCGTGAGCCCCTGCTTCGCTGGCGAGATCATGTTTTCCGAAGTGCTGGACGCTCGCTCCGGTGTCCAGCGCCGTTTCGGAGCCCGACCAGCTCCGCGCGGCGTGCTCTGCACGCTGTTTAATGCAACAACATCGGGAAATGCAAGTCATAGGGTGCTTCCAGACGAGGCTTTTATTGTGCGATCGCTCCGCGTGGGTCGCAGAATATTACCTGGCGCACCGGCAGACTGCTCTTCCATTTGTAATCTCATGTTTCCCTCCTGCTGCTACCATTGTTTTCTTCTTACAAGGAAAAAAAAATCCTATTAAGGTGGAAAGGATGCTTCTGGGAGAAGGCTCCTAGCACTGACATTTTTAGAAAACATGCAGCTATCCCATCTTTTCCTCAAGAAATTTTCTTCAATAAGAAAAGAGAGAGAAGCAGTTTTAGGAAAACATGTAAAGGTTAGAAGCAGTGGACAATGGTGTCTGAATCCTCAGTCAAAATCTGTAAGGGTGCAAAGCCTTCTGTGTGTTTAGGCAGAAAAATGGCTGGCTGGAGAATACTTCAAGTTGTAGGCCTTTTTTTCTAAACATGTATAGGGTTAAACCAGCTTCTACTTCACTAAAAACCTCATCTGGAACTTGCCAGAGGCAAAATATAGCAGAGTGCTTTTGAGCATTAGGTCTAGGAGCTCTGGATCTGGAAGCACCCTTTTCATATATTAATTGTGCAAATAGAAATGTGTACCTTGCCTGTAGTCTGTATAATAAGTACAATCAAGTTCTATATATGCTTGTATTATAGCTATAGAATCTGTGTGTTTCTTCACATAGACTAGAGAGAGGGAGAATGTTTGATAATTATTGGTAACAATACCACAAGCTCTTTCAGGGCCTGTTTACTTTGGTGAAAGTGTTAACATACTTTTCCCTTGAATCAAGGACCTGAAATTGCTAACCATGGTTTGGATGACAGCCATGATCACCTTAGTAATTTCTATTAGTTGGCCCCAAAATCACTGACAGGGCTGTCTACACCCATCTGAAAAATAGTCCTGTTTTTATTTTCTTTGGCTTTCCTTGGAAACAATGCAGGTGGAAAATCAGTCTTAGAGATTAAGTGGGAGTGAAATATCACTGTGGGATGGCAAAAAGACTTCTTGTTAAACTAGCCTTCTTGAGTTCACCCATTTCTATCCTGCTTTCCACTTCCAAAAAAGGGGAAAGGGGGGATATTGCATTGGTAAGTCTATCACTGTTTAGTAAACAAAGAAGAGATTTAATTTAATGGTGACTATTCTGAGGATATGTATTTATTTTTGCATTTGATTCTTAGAGGGGCACTTCAGGGCCCATTTTATCAATGTAGATATACTGATCGAAGGCAATTACACCAGTGGTCACTGAATAACACTAACCAGACCTAATAAGATGTAAGTTCATTTTTCATTTGTTACTCCTTAGGCTTAATTCATTTTGGAACTTTTTGTTGCATTTTCTCCTTATCTGTCCATTTTTATCTATTAATTTGTAAAGCTACATGCACAAACCTGGAGGCTGCAAGTGAAGGATGAACTGAATTCCTCCTTGGGTTAAAAGCAGTTGCAGGAGCAGGCTTTGAAATGGGCTGTTTGCCTAATTTAAATCACCCTCTGGAACCTGATATTTGGCAGTGGGAGGTGGTGGAAGAAAGAAAGATTATACCCATCTCTCTTATTTTATTTCATTATTTTATTTTATGACATTTCTCTCCTGCCTTTCTTTCTCTCACAAAGAACCTAGGTGACTTTTAAAGTCTTCCTCCTCTCTAGTTTCTGCTCAAAACAGCCCTGTTGGCTTGGTTAGAGTAAGCATCAGTTATTGGCCTGTGAGCTTCACAGGCAAGCAGGGACTAGGATTCATTTCTTCCAAGTCCTGGTCTAATACTCTAAGCACAACCCCATGCTGGCTGTCCTCCAGAACTGGTGGCAGATTTAATGGGATGCTTTCAAGTGGGAAATGGTGCTGTGCAGAGAGTTAACCCATCTTTTGTGGTCCCCATCTAAATTCTTCTCCCAGAAAGGTGCTTTTAACCAAAGAGAAAGACACTAGGAGAGGTAGTCATGGTTCTCTCAGGTCATGTCTTGTTTTGCCCCAGTGGCCCAGTACCATCTCTGACTGGCCCCGTATCTTTCAAGGACCCCTGGCAGGAGTCATTTGCATGATCCAGTCCAATCCTTCTGAAACTGGAGATGACAAGGTGCACTGGCCCTCCTGTATGTGAAACATGCGCTCCACTGTGGGATTAGAGCCTCTCCCTAAATAGCTCCGGGATGGGCAAAGCCGCCCACTTCTCTGCAAGGGGCCAGGGCATTGCATCCATTGTGGCCCTGCTTCCTGTCAGGGTTTTGAAAGCCTGAATTTTTATTTTTGAGAACTTGACAACACTTGTGCTGTCACAATGAAATGCAGAAGGATGAGGGCAGTATATTTAAAAAGCATAGTAAGAAAAGCACTTTTAATGGGCCAAGTGCTTGGCTGCTCTTTCATTTGCCTTCTTTGTAAATTAGATAAATGCTCTGGCTTTAGGAATAAGGAACTGATGCTGTGTTGGAGGCAGCTGGATGAGTCTGCAGCTGATCAGGGCTACCAGTGGCAGGGGTAGCAAACCCCCTTCAGCTCAGGTGAAATTCATTTGTGGGGCTTCAATCCATTGGTGGCTGGAGCTAAAGAAAAAAAGCAGCACATAACTAGCTTAAAGCTCTTACTGCCAGTGAGAAAACTGCATAAATCTAGAAAATCACCAAACAGTTGGGCCTGGCAGGATTGGGACCCTAAGCAATTCTCATTGTCCCTCATCTTTAGTATGCTAGGGCTGATGGGTATTGCAGTCCAACATATCCCTCCAAAGTCCTAGATCTAAGTTTTCATTGACTTAAGTTTTGGGTAGCATTGCTGAACATCCGCACTGGAGTTAGGGTTAGGGTATTATGTGCACTGGCACTTTGATCCGCAGAAATGCATTGTGCAGCAGTAAGGCAAAGTCATATCCATGTCCATTGTTAAGCTCTCAACTACTGTACACACTTCCCCTTACCTGTGTGGTGTAATTTCTGCTCGTTCCTCTTTGAATTGTCTAAAGTGTTCATAAGCTGTGGCTCAAATGTAACTGGTTCTGCTTTTTCTTACAAGCACATTGTCTTTCCATCATGGTGGAGTCTGAATTTTGTTCTGTCCAAAGATGGTTTGTTGTGGTAGTGAATTAAATGACTTACAAGTTTTATCCTTTACAGAATGCAATAAAGTTACCTTTCATATTGTGTCTTGCTCGCTAACCGTATGGCTTGTAAGAGGCATGTTTCCTGATCTGCTTTTGTCCTTAGAAGGATTCATTGGTGCCCCCATTTCCAGCTTAGGATGCCATTCTGTGCATGTTTAATCTGGAAATTCCTAGCCTTCCCCATGATGCATAGGATGGCACCCTTAGGGATTCAGTTGCAAAGTATTATCCACAAGAACCTACCCATTTTAGACTATTTTCTGCTTCCATCAGTAGCCATAGGCCTCATATGTTGACCTTGGAAGGTGACAACACCCTTTTTCCATTATTTTGTTTGAAGTTTGGCGCCCAAGGATTTTTGAAGTTTGTTTTACTTTTTATACAAAAGATCTGATAAGTTAGTTTTATGACAAAGGCTGCTGAAGACCATGGATTATTTTCACCTCTGATGTTGTAATCTTATGGTCCCAGCAGAATGTTGGATGCACCAGATACCCAATCATGGGGCAGTCAATACCATCTATATGATTCCCTCTCGAGGAGCAGTGCTAGGCTTCCTGGAAAGCAGGGAATTCCAGATCTTCTGTGGCCACCAAACAGGTTATTAATTGCATTGGCTGCAACAGGATTGTACCACAAATACATCGCAACTTCCGTATGGCCATGGATCTTCTAAATGTGCAGCCTGCCAAAATGAACAGGCAGTCCTTGGTAATAGTGGTGCTCTACAATGTATGGCTGTGAAAGCTGGACCATAAGGAAGGCTGAGTGCCAAAGGATTGAGGCTTTTGAATTGTGGTGCTGGAGGAGACTCCTGCGAGTCCCTTGGACCGCAAGGCGATCAAACCAGTCAGTCCTAGAGGAGATCAACCCTTACTGCTCTTTAGATGGCCAGATAGTGAAGATGAAACTCAAATACTTTGGCACCCTATTGAGAAGGAAGGACTCCCTGGAGAAGAGCCTAATGCTGGGAACAAAAGATGGCAAAAGAAGAAGGGGACGGCAGAAGATGAGGTGGCTAGATGGAGTCACTGAAGCAGTCAGTGTGAGCTTAAGTGGACTCCAGGGGATGGTGGAAGACAGGAAGGCCTGGAGGAATGTTGTCCATGGGTAGCGATGGGTCGGACATGACTTTGCGACTAACAACAACAACAACCTGTGCCTTATTACTCCCATGCCTGGAAGAGAATATAGTTGGACCATAAGAACTTCATCCTCACTACTACCTTTTGAGACATCTGTTGATATTGTGTTGGAGCCCTGTTGATCTGCTGTTGAGATTCTAGGTCTGAAACAGTCTGTGGCAAGTTGTTACCTCTTTATTTCTCTCTCTATATGACCTCAAAAGAAGCACAGATGTATTTTAAAAACATTTTCAATATTACAGTAGATTTATGAATAATGAAAAAAATCATTTTAATTTAAAACAACAAATGCAAACAACTCACAAAAAAAGAAACATTTTCGAAAGCCTTAGATTTTTTTAAAGAAAACAAACCTGTTTTTGCTTGGGTTTTTTGCACAGAATCTGGGAACATACAGAAATATTTTACAAGAAACATTTCCGCAATACTTCAAATTAGCTTACTGTCATCACGCATCTACAACTGGGTGTATAGATAACTTATCATGTCCTCTAGCCCCCCTCCCCACTTTCTATAACCTTTGTAGTCCACAAATGCAAAACATCTGTCTCACAAGACTGAACTCCAGATACATCACAATTATGCTCATTACAGTAATGGACACAATACAACCTAAACTAAGTGTCAACTAACCTTGACAGTCACCGGTAAGACTTGCTGTTCAAAATGTCCATGTTAACTTTAGAAATGAACATTAAAAGTGCTCCACCGACATCCAGGATTTTACAGAACCTTGAGCATGCATTTGAACTCAGTTCAGTGCATTCCCCCTGCTGTTAAAAATCATGGGAGGTAGAACTAAATATTCCCACCAGTAAAACAAAACATCTTTCAGTGAAAGAAATAGGAGACCATCAAGGCCTTATTGACCTTGCTACAGAATTCAAAGCTGGTATAGAACACTACCCAATAGCTGCCTCACAATTGTATCTTGATTAGTCCAGTGTACTTAGGCCCTGATGCAAACATGACGTTCTCTGAATAGACCCTGCATTGCCTTCTGGTTCAGCCATGGCTAGAGAAGGCACTGTGTTCACATGCTGTGGAGTTTCAGGAATAAGGTACCAGTCTCCAGAGAAGTGTCTGCCCTGGAGTGCCACTCTTTGTATGATGTAAGGTTGTGAAATGACAGACCATGCTTTAACATTAGGGGGGAAAACCCTTCAGTCCGATATTATTCACACTTGAGGAAAGAAAAAACCCACTGGAGATATTATTCAAAGGAAGCAAATTTCAAGATCCTTTTGCAACAGGGGTGAAATTCCCCTGCAATGCCATCTAGGTTAAAGAGTGAGAATGTCTTCCCTTAGTATTAAAAACCCAGAAGCATTATGTTGGAGGAATCTTGCTTCAGTTCAACTGCTAGCTAATATCTCTGGAAGTTTTCAGATATATATAACCCAAGTTGCAAGAATTGCCTTAAAAATACCACTTATACATCCTTGTGAAAAACGAACAATCCAGAAGATTCACAATATATTAGTAATAGGATTGTAGGAATCCAGCTTTTGATTGTCTTCAGCATTAAAAAAAAAGGTAAACATTAAAAAGCAGCTAAAGATGGTGAAAATTCTCTCTCACATTCACATCTTGGAAAAGAACACTGACAAGTTTTAAATGAAACTTGCAAGACTGGGATATCCTTGATCCAGTTTGCATTTCCAGGAGAAAGGATGCAGTTTAATACTAGGAAGCCCAGCACTCCAAAAATTCAGGGTCAGCAGGTGGAAGTGCGTTTCCTGTACCGCTGGATAAGGGGCACCAGGCACTCTGGAAGTCCAGTCTGAAGTAAAAAGGGATGATCCAGGAGTTCTTGTGCTGTTGCTCGCTCTAAAGGGTCTCGTGTTAACATCCGTTCCAAGAAGTCTCTCAACACTGGAGAGGTCTGTGAAAAAGGAACCAGTTAGTGGGGACAGGAGGGGTGTTTGAACCTAGAAAGCTTTTTTATAAAATTGAAAATCTAGAAAATGGTCATTTCTGGATGTAATTTGTGGCACTCTCTTACAAAGGCAGAATAATTGTAGATACAGATAGCAGGGTGCTTGAGGACCTAATTACATTTTGCAGATGCTCTTGGGGGTGAGTGAGTGAGGGTGGGCCCAAAACATCAGAAATACCAATATATTTTAGCTGAAAGCTCTTATTTCAAGTAGCTAAGCTTTTCAAGCTTTTAAAGATTGAAAACATGCAGAAGCTAGTAAACCACAAAAACTCAGTGGCCAGCAGAAAGGAGCTGGGGCCATCTGGGAACCTTAGAGGGCTGGACTGGGACCCACAAAGGGAAAGATTTGGCCATGGGCTTGAAGCTCTGCACCCAGGTGACACAGTTCAGAAAGTAAATAACATAATTATTATTGACCCATAGCCAATATTCTCTTCCTGGGCAAGGTGCTCAAGCAAGTTGTGGCCAGGCACTCCAAGCATTCTTGGAGGAAACAGATTATTTGGATCGATTTCTATTGGGCTTATGGCTTGGATTTGGAACAGAAACTAGCTTGGTCGTCCTGTGAGATGACCTTTGCTGGGACACGAACAGGGAGGGTGCAACCCTGTTGATTCTCCTGGGTCTCTCAGCAGCTTTCGATACCATCGACCATGGTATCCTTCTGGAGAGGCTGACTGGATTGGGAGTTTGGGGCACTGCTTTGTGGTGGCTCCACTCCTACCTGGCTGACCATCTCCAGTTGGTGGAGCTAAGGACTGCTGCTCTGCATCATGGCACTTGTGTCACGGAGTCCCATGGGGCTCCATTCTGTCCCCCATGCTATATAACATCTACATGAAACCATTGGGAGGGGTCATTCAGAGGTTTGGGCTGCAGAGTCACCAATGTGCTGATGACACTCAGCTCTACCTCTTGTTTTCATCCAATCCAGGTGAGGTAGTGACTGTTCTGAACCAGGGGCCTGGGTGGTCAGGAACAACTTCTATCAGTTTAACCTGATTTTCCAACTACATTACCACTTGGTGAACAGAGCCTTGCCACAGCTATCTATGCGCTGGTAAACTTTCCTGGATTGTAATGTAATGTGCTCTATGTGGGGCTGCCTTTGTAGATGGTCCAGGGACTTCAACTAATTCAAAACAGAGCTGTGCAGTTATGAACAAGGACCAGCTCCAGAGAATGTATCAAATCAGCTCTCCACCAACCACATTGGCTGCCTGGTACTGCCCAGGCCCAACTCAAAGTGCTTACAATATCATAGAATGTCTTAAATGGCTTGGGACCAGGATATTTAAAGGAATACCTGTCTCCATATATCCTTACCAGTCCACTCAGATTGTCAATGGAGGCCCTCCTTCATGAACTCCCCACCCCAAATAAAGTGAAGGGAGAAATTAGCTGGAAAAGGGCCTTCTCTGTTGTTGCAGCTCTTCTCTGAAATTCTCTTCCAAAAGAGGTGCAACTGGTACCTTCATTATTTTGTTTTCATCGTCTAGTAAAGACCTTTAAATTTAGTATTTGTTTTTAGAATTTGTTTTTATTTGGGTTTTGCTGCTGGTTTATGGTTGCTTATATTATTGTTTATCCTTCTGTTTTTGCACTTTATATTAGTACGATTTTATGTGGTTTTTAGCTGGTAATATTTATTATTTTTATGCTATATTGTTGTGGTGTGTATGATATGTGAGCTAGCCAGGGAGCCCTTGGGCTATGGGGTGGTATACAAATGCAATTGATAAATGAGTGTCTACACTGATAGCCAGCGTGGTTAGTGGATAATAATGTGGGACTGGGGCTTGAGAGATCTGGGTTCTAGTCCCCACTCTGCCATGGAGCTAACTGGGTGAAAGCCGCATACTCTCAGCCCAGCCTGCTTCACAGAGCTGTTGTGAGGATAAGAGTGAGAAGAGGAGGAGAATTATGGAATTATGGCTGGTGCACAGCATATATACGAGGAGGGAAGGAAAGAGGTGGCTGCCACTTGGTAAATGATTATTTCCTATATACCCATGGTAAAGCTTATCTGCATAATTACAACTTTTTAGCAAAGGAATTTTAAAAACACTTAAAAATAGTAGTAAGAATCCTGTGTTGCCTGAAAGTCTAACCCATGTATTGTGGCATCAACTTTTGTGGATAAGAGTCAGTGTTGTCCCTCTACAATGGGCTCTAGGCCACAAAAATGTATGGCACAGTAAGTGGGTTTACCTTTAAGTTTCCACAGGAACCTGTATTTGCCAATATACCAGAAGAGAATTGTTTAAGCTGCAATCCTATGCATGTTTAGGTAGAAAAAAGGCTTACAACTCCCAAGGCTTACATGTCCCAGTTGGCACGACTGGCTGAGGCATGCTGGGACTTGCATGGCTTTTTTCAGCCTAGGTCTGCACAGGACTGCACCTTTACAGTTACAAAGGCACTGTCTCCACATTCAGCTGGGAAGGAAGGACTGAGCACTGTTCTTTATAAACTTATCCACAATCTCAAGGCTATAGCTGCCTGAACTGCACCCCTGTATCATTTTGTGGAGAAAACCTGCATCCTGCTGATATTTGTTCCTCTTATTCATTCATGCATTCCATTTATATATTTCTACGTTACTCAATGGTTAGTGCAGCTTTTAGTTTGAGCCTTTTAGGAGCTGTCCTTGGTGCTGAATTGCAACTTCCAAATAGGTTCACCACCACACAGCATCATGGATAGCTCCTATAGAGTTCACAATAAAAATTGCAATGGTTAAAAAGCCCCGCTGGCCAAAGCCACTAGACTCCCCTGCCAATAGCAGGAGTTTCTTGAGCAGTTTACCAAAATATGATATAATCCTTTGTGCTAGATAATACTATACTTTCTGTTGGTTCAGAAGGAATACTTCTGCTCCAGTGACTTTGCAGAACCTGTCATCCCACTATGTGCTTGACCAACATAGCATATAAGGGCATATTCTGGACAAAACTGTAGCTAATCCATTCAGTAAGTGTTTTATCCATGGAATTGTCAGGTTTGGGATTTCACTTAAAATCAAATGTTTGTGGAAATCATTTCTCGTGCTCACCACCAGATGGCAGCATCAGTCTGCAAGATTGGTACACTGGCTCTCTCCCAGCCTTGTGTAATTGATTAATGAGTGGAATATACAGACACAAAGGAGGAAGGCACCACACAGCTGCATCCCAGTTGTGTTGGGTTCTGTGACTCGACTGCAGAAGAGAAGCTGCTGGCCCTCGGACCTGCTTTAGCATGACAAATGTCCCACTGGGAAAACACATCCATGCATGGCAACACAGGAACATCGCGCATCTGACCCCCTGCATTCTGGCTCCACTGAAGGGACGTGCCGGGGGGGACACATGGCCACCCTCAGCTTTTCAGCAGTGCACAGCCAAGACCATAACTGCATGTGTGATCATCATAAGCAACTACCCTCACATTTGCCATGGTTTTTCCTAAATAAATGTGTTGCATGTGAAGAAGGAATGGGTAGAAATGAATTCTCAAGACGTTTTGGATTTCAGCTTCCAACATTTCTGACATCAGCCATGCTGGCAGGGCACTGGGAGTAGAAGACTCAAACTTCTGGAGACCTACGTTATGCCCACCCTTGTATAAAACATTCATAATCTTTTCAATTGCTTCAAAGCCTTTTTTCAATTACTACAAAGTATATGGCTGTACAAAGGACATACCCTTACAAAGATACTGACCTTATGAGAATTCTTTATTTTGGGAGGGGGGCTGTCACGGAGCCTCTTCATTGCTTGGACAGGAGAGTCGCTGAAATAAGGGGGTTCTCCATCTACCATTTCTATCACCATGATTCCCAAAGACCAGATATCTACCTGCAGAAGCAGAATAGCGCATCAGTGCAGATCAGAGGCAGGGAACTATTTTATGCTGGCGGCCAACTGACATCATGCCTTTCTGAAGCTAAGCAAGGCAGGGAGCTGCCTCTCTCAGCACAAAGGAAGTAAGTTGTGGCTCTCAGCATCTCCATCAGGGGGTGCAAGAAGCACGTGAAAGAGGAGCTGGCTCCAACTAGAAGGAGCTGTTCCTCCCAACACCATCTGAGTTGGGAGCCTCAGCTAGTTCAGGGAGGAGGAAGAGGGTTGGTGTCAGGGACTGGGGGCCAAGCTCAGCTCCTTGGAGGAATTTAAGGAGACCCCACAGGCTAGGTAGGAAATTTTTACAGTCTGGATTAGGCCTGTGGGGCAGAGGTTCCCCATTCCTGGTACATGCGGTCTGTAGAAAGATGTTCCATTAACTATAGGGGAGCATGGGACATCTCCTCAGAGAAACCATATAGCACTGAAATACTGAGTCGGCTTCAAGACCTTAACAAAGAAGCTGAAAGGCTTAAGGCAGGGGTGGGTAACCTGCAGCCTTCCAGATGCTTTAGCCTACAGCTCCTAACCAGCAAAGCCAAGGGTGAGGATTCCGAGAGTTCTAGGTCAAAACATCTGGAGAGGTACAAGTTGCCTACCACAGATTGAACTCAAATCCCTCCCCCAGAGTTGTAGTAAAATTCTTCGGGTTTGTCCACTTTCCTTCTCCTGACTGCCAATGGCCCTCCTCTTTCACTTACACACAAAAACTCACTCAAATTAATCAAATGCTGTAAAAACAGCATATTTTTCTCTTGCAGTATATTGTAAGAAATTAATGCAAAGCTGGTCTATTTCCATACTTTATCCTGTGACATTCTTCTTGGATTTATGGGCTAGATGCTGGTTAGCAGCATTGCTATTTTTAGTCTTTTAAAGCTGTAAGCGCAATTCTATGCATGTTTGCTCAGAAGTAAGTCACTGATTATACTAACTCTTCAGTGGCCAAGGTTGTCAGGTCCCTGGAAAAGAGTTGAAAGCCACACAATCCAATCTCTGACATCCTGTTCTCCAGCCTTCTGCAATCTGGAATCCTACAGATATGCTGGACTCCCAGCATCGGCCATGCTGTAGTCAAGCAGGGCTCCACATGTGCTGAGCTATACATTTCAGAAACACTAATGCAGCTGAGAGCAAAAGACCCCAGGATACACAGTGTGAGATACACAGTGCAACTTACAGATCAAGGAACAGGTTTAGCAAAGGGTCACAATAGTGCTTAAACTAGGGGTGCAGAACCTCCACTGTGACACCCTAATCCTGTTTGTGGGACACCTCGATCCAGCCCATGCATTCTCTTGGAGCCCCTACAGGAGGCAGGGCATAGGCTCCAAGCTTGAAACAGACACACCCTGTGGATCCTTCTGCTTTCCAGGACTCAGAGTTACCTCAGTAGTGTATGGAGACCTTGAAATAACCTCTGGAGCCATCCAATAAGGGGTCCCTACTAAGGACTTCCTCTTTGGTACATCCTTACTGATTTGAGCACAGAAGCCAAAGTCAGAAAGTTTCACCTGTGCAAAAGCAGAAAAGAACAATCACAAGCGACCCTAAATGGAGGGCAGGGCAATAGTACAAAAAGGACAAATAAAGCCATCATTTTAAGCATGTTTAGACTCCCTTCTGGTACCATCAACTTTATAAGCTTCAAAAGAATGAATGCATTTTTTTATTCGTTAAGTAAATTTGTGCATGAGTGTATGCAGGGGAGGGGTGTTTGAAACTGAATCAAGACGCTGGTGAGAAGTGGGTTGGGGGGCTTTCCCCTTTACCCCCTGCTGTGGCCTGATCCAGATGTGAAAGGATGCCTGCTATTTGCATTGTGGAAAAAAACCTTTGAGTTGTTAGGGTTTTTTTCCCTGCATCAATGCAGGGAACCAGCCTGGATCAAGATCACAGGAGGAGAGGGACAAAAGGTTCAATATCCCTACATTCCTTACCAGGGTTTGAATCCAAACCAGGGGCCTTTGCACCTGCGATTCACTTTTTAAAAGCCATTTGTGGGATTCCAAATTGTGTAAATGGCCTAATTTGGCCCCGAGGTTTTCACCTGGTGGCAGCAAGGAGCAAATCTGGCACTTTCCACATGCAAACCCTGCTGTGCCACCAGGCTGCAGTGCAGGAGAGTCAGAAGAGAAATGTGGCAAGTGCGGAAGACAAAGACAGCAAGAGGAAAAGAATTACCCTTCCATCAAGGGTCAGGAGAATGGAGTCGCTCTTAATGTCTCTGTGAATCACACCTTGGGAATGCAGATAGGCAAGTGCCTGCAGGACTGACTCACACACAGTAGCGATTTGCTCTTCGTTCAGTCTGAAAGACAGCAGCAGGGATTGTGAGTCGGAGCATTTTTGTCCCACGCAGTGCAGACACAGTACACCTGGCACTTACAGGGCAGCGTGATGTTTAGGGCAGCTTCATATTCGATTAGACATAATGGAGTGTTGGTAGCCTCTTACCATAACTGGCTTCAGAAAATGCTCAGGCAAAGGCATGGAGATGGCCTCTATCAATGACTGCTTTTGTTTGAACTTTAAGGCTCATTTTCTTTTGCCTTTGATTTAAAAAACAGCTCTGTAAGGCTACACACATATTGGATGTGATCCTATGCATGTTGAGTCAGAAGAAAATCCTGCAACAGCATTCTCCAGCCAGCCTGGCTCTTTTTCCGGGTATACATGCATCGGATTGCACCTCACTCACTCAGGATGTGACCCAGCTGGGGTGCCAGTAAGCCTCCAAGCACTGAGGATTTTGGACACCCTTTACAGGGTGTGAGGAACAGCAGGGGCAGGCTCCTCTGCCTGCTCCTCCTGTTCTGCATTGGCCATCCAGCCAGGGAGGGAAGGAGGCTACAGGGGACACAGGATATGGCTGACTTGGGCAGTCTCCTCCCCTCTTCACCCACAGGAACACATCGACCCCCACCTCCCGATGTTGGGTTTCTGACCTTGCAGAGGTAGCCAGTGCCATCCATTCTGCACTGGCTGTGGGGGCAGGAGGGTTGGAGGTTGGAATGCAGACCCCCGGCCCCGGGGTCACAGCTCTGTTTCCAACCTCGGACTGGGAATACATTGTTTCCTGTGCCACCCCCACCCCATGACAAACTCTAGGGGCCATAGGAGTGCTTTCTTAGCTGGAACGATCACATATTTCAGGGGTCCTCAAACTTTTTCAAGAGGTGACTATTTGAAAGGTGCTGGCGATGGGTGTGGGCCACCAAGGCAGTGTGGGCAGGGGGTGCGGGCTGGGGCCAGGTGGGGGCATGCGCACAGAGACAGAAGAAAACAATCTCCCCACGAGCAAGCCACCGGCTTGCTGCGCGCATGTGCAGCGAGTCCAAAACCTCTATGGCGGGCCGGATAAATGGCATGGCGGGCCGTATCCAGCTCGCAGGCCGTAGTTTGAGGACCCGTGACATATTTGATGCCACAATCCATATTGGCCTTTAAGGGTTTTTACAACACATTCACAGGGGCTGTTCCCTGGAATATTCGAAAAATCCTGGCAATTGTAAGAAACAGTATTCTTGGCTAAACTGTTCCTACATTGCTCTATATAGGCCAATATTTTGAATTCCCCACTGCTCATATTTCCATTTCTATAACCATGACAAATAAAGCTTTTCTATCTTGCCTAGTGGTGGATGAAAAGGTTTGCCCTTTCCTTTAACCTGTTCTTATTCAGGTAAGATGGACACAACACATGTGTCCAGTTTTTCTCTCATGTATTCTTGTAGCCCCATATTTGCATCCAAAACCCTCTTGGGTGCATTTTTGTGTCCCTGTTGGAAGTCAAGGAGACACTACTTGATTTTGAAAGATTAAATTGCATGAGCCTGACAACACTTCATCTTGGGAATAGTTAGTAATTGTGCTACACAGCACAATTGTGCTCTCTTTGCCTTACCTGAGCCCTCTTTGGAGGTTTTACTGAGGCCCAGAAACCAACAAATGCCCAGCAAGGTATGTCCACCCCACTGTTGACATCATGCAAAAGGTGGCTGAACCTGCAACTTTTGCACAACGTCCACAACTTTTTAGTGCCCAGCAGAAAGTGCGAGTACATTTCTACCAGGGCCATTTGTGCTATGAAGACAACTGTGGGTGTCCCTATTTGGGGCAGGGCAGGGCAGTCAGGAAGGAGGGAGGCACAGAGGTCCTCGCACTGCCTCTACTGTCCTTGGACCCCTCCTGTGTGGTGAAGAAGCAAGTGGTGCACATGGCCTCCTGCAGGCAGCATATAGCCTATGGAATAGTGACCACCAACAGCCTTCTTTCCCATGCACTGGAGCCATTTAAAGCCGGCCAGATAAGCAGGAAAACCCTCAAGCAGGCAATAATTCTCTCCTACCATTGTCCCCCAGCTCTGGTATTCAGAGACATGCATATAGTAGTTAATTGTAGGCTGTGTAACCCATGATTAACCTATAGTGTGTAGGTTCATCCATCATGCGGCAACCTTCCGCTGACCCATAGGAGTTTGAATATTCAACATGGCAGTGAAATGCAGTTAGCACTTGCCATGGCAAATTATTGGGCTAATTAAGCCATGATTTGCAGCTGCTACATGCAAAGAATGGGACATTTTTTGGAGGGGCACTTATTCAAAGGGTCACCATAAGTTAGAGATGACTTGACAGCCGGTCACAACAACAAACATACAAAAAGGCCCAGTGGCTGCCATAAATAGTATGGCAGATAGTGCAGAACGCTGCTCAGGGCCACGTGACGTCTATAGGCTGCAGACTGTCCACCAACCATTGGTTGCTTTAGGACAGAGACTTTTACTAGATATAACACCATAATCACACATCAGACAGATGCCAAAAGAGTCTGTTGCCTTGGGATTAAGGAAAGGGGTTAGTGTCCTCTTCTGGGTTCTTTTTCCTACCTGATTTGGGAGAGAATATCCGTGAGGGCTCCTCCCTGGAGAAATTCCATCAGCACCCAGAGCTCATCACCTACAAGGTAGCTTTTATACATCTCTACCACATTGTCATGTTGGTAGTCTCTCATTATCACAACCTGAGGAAAAGCACAGGAAGATAAATGACTGATCATTCATTCATAATTAATTAGTATTAATTATTAATTCATAATAAAGCCTTCATTGGCTGATCTGACACATTCGCAACTTGGTAGTCACTATATCCTTGTCCAATATAGACAGATGGGTAGTTAGGTGTAGACGTGTTGAATGGAACCATCACATGTTATCAAAAATAGGCTCCAAATGGCCATATGATCAGTGACCTGGCCTTTTCCTTCATTTCACTCCTGTATGTTCAAGATAGCATAACAATTGCAGCTACCCTCTTTTGTAAATTGCCCTGTATCCCTTTTCTTCTTTGACTGTCTTCATACATCTGATCCAGATTTAGGGTACAATCCTGCGCATGTTTAGGCAGATAAAGTTCTACAACTCCCAGCATTTCCAAGCCAGCATGGGGCTTTTTTCTATCTAAATATGCACAGGATTATGTCATAATTTAATCACACTCGGGGGCATTACTAGATACTTAAAGATTCAAGACCTGTGTACATAAGACATTAATCTGCATTAGCTAAGGTATATCTATATATGCATATTTAGCAATAATTGGTAGGATTTGTTTACATTTCACAGGAGGTGGAAGCAGCCAGTTGATTTTTTTATCCAGATTAGCTAAAAATAAACTTTTGAATTAATTTACTCACTGACCCATTTCCACCACCCCAAGATTAATTGTCATGCAGACAACTGAACAAAGAGGAAACAAAACTTCTGTTAGTACCCATGGACATTCAAGGCTGTATGGGATGGATCTGGGGCTCTGGGAAATGGATTTGGGACTGCAGCCCTTTTGGTCCAGCTGTGCAGTGCATGTCCCACTGAAATCAATGGGAAGAGTTAGTCATGACTTACTGACATCCCATTGATTTTAATAGGACTAACCTGTGACTAACTGAGTCGGGATTCAACCCATAGTGTTCCTGTTCATCCACATATGCTCAAAGAGTGTAACTGTCATGTCATTCGCTTTAGTCACCTCATTAAAAAGGAGCTCACGACGCTGCTGCTTCCGTAGGTCCATCATCTTCACTGCCACCTGCCGTCCAGAATGCTTCTCGCGAGCGATGCAAACAATTCCTGTTGAGCCCTCCCCAATCTTAACATAGTTTTCCAGCATTGTCCTGGGGTCGCCTTGGTCCACCACCATCCTCAGTGCAGCCTTGAACTGCTCATGTGTTACAACTACTGGATCTTCATGGGCTGGCTGTGCTTTGGAGTCCAAGGGGAGGTGAAGATTGCTGGAGCTGGTCTGGGTGTTTCGGTTCCGAGGAGACCCGGCTGGTGAAGGCCTGCCTTGGGGCAAAGCTGAGCCATGCTCTGCTGCCGGGGATTTCTGAGGGTTGCTGGCTTCCGAAATCCTAGCGCAATCCGGCACTGGCTGGTCAGAGGGCAGTGACTGAGATTTGGCTACAGGACTGTGTGGTGAGCCCCAGTGCTGTGGTGGCTTGAAGAAAGGATTGGGCTAGGAAGAAGAGAAGAAGCGCAGGATGAATTTGGCTGCCAAACTGAATGAAAGAAACCTTAGTCACTTAAACAAATTGATTTCAATTGAGTAATTAAGTAATGAAATCTATCTACATTGACATGTGACTAAAATTATTGTTTTGAAGTAGGAGGAAGAATGCTTTCTTGCCTTTCCTGCCTGTGCAAGAGTACTTTTTCCAAGAAAGGGCCTGCAGCCTGTTTTATAAGCAGGTGTATTAAAAGGCCACTTAGGAAGGCCTTGACAGTTATAGGCGGTCAACTAAACAGACAGAACAGAAATGTGTGTGTGTGTGTGTGTGTGTGTGTGTGTGTGTGTGTGTGTGCGCGCGCGCGCGCGCGCACACGCGCGTGCATGTATGTATGTATGTATAAATAAATAAAGTGCATGGTGTAAAAATATGTTGCTTGATTAACTGGGAGTATTTGGGGGGTTGCATTGGAAAGTGTGCTCCCAACTGTTAGACTAGGTGTCACCTGTTGCTCTGGACTACAAATCCCACCATCCTGGGCAGCAAGGCCATTTTATGTTATTGCTGTGCTGGCTGGGGAATGATAGCCGTTTTGATGTCATTGTGTGGAAAAGGACGACTGAAATGATCAAGGACCTGTGAGAAAAGGTTACAACATCTAGGGCTGTTTAGCTTAACAAAAAGGGTGAGTAAAGAGAGACATGACAGAGGTCTGCAAAAGCTATGCGTGGTATAAAGAAAGGGAATATAAAGGCATTTCTCTTCTCTCATAATACTAGAACCCAAAGGGAACAACCCATAAAGCTGGTTGATGAGAGATTCAGAACAGATAGAACAGAACAGAAGGACTACTTTGGAGAGTGCAGAGTTGAACTATGGAATTCACTTTCACAAGTTTTGGTTACAGTCATCAAACAAGATGCCTTTAAGTGGAACACTGAACAAACTCATGGAGAACACTATCAATGGCTATTAGTCATCTTGACTAGATTCTACCACCAGTATCGGAGGCAGTGTGCTCTTCATGTACACAATGGCTAGCAGACAACAGTTGCTGTGGGTCAGCAGTAGAAGATAATTACTGCCTGCCTGAAGGTTTTTTGAAACTCTCTGGATGGCTTTAAAAGGAAATGGGTCCAATTCACAGAGGAGAAAGCTACTAGTCCTGCCACTAGTTCTGCTGGTGATATGCTACTCTGGGGTCATATATACACCTGTTGCTGGTGAACACTGCCATAAGGGTGCTGTTGCACTTGTATCTGGCTTGTGGGTTTCCCAAGGTCAGCTGGTTGGCCTCTGCACGAACGGACTGCTGCATTGGACAGAACTTGTGCTGAGCCAGTGTGGTTCTTCTTGTGTTCTTATGGTCATGCTGGCTGGGGAAGATGGTGGCTGCAGTCCCACACAAATCGAAGCACCAGGTTCAGGAAGGCTGTATTAGACTAACAGCAACTAACATTTGCTTTCCATGATCTAAAAATCCATGCAGTCCAACTAGTACTGTATTTGGTGTGGAGCAGTGCCATTTCAATTAGGATCCTTCTTCTGACATGATGTGGGGACCTCTCTTTCCCTTCATCTCTAAAATAGAAATGAGCACAACCTGATGCACACAGCTCTTTCAGGGTAAACAAGATCAAGCTTGTTTTTATGCTCCCAGTATTTTGATTGCTAACCTGTTTTATTTAGTGATTTTATATTTTAACATTGGATGCTGTGCAACTGTTACTCTTATTTCTATTCTTATTTATTGTATTAATTTGTCGTATACTGTCCCGAGATGTCTGTGATGGGATGGTATAGAAAAGCTTTAAATAAATAAATAAAGCAAGCAAGCTTGTAAAACACAGGAAGACAAACATAGGTGGCATTGTTGGTTTGTTTTTGGGTTGTTGGCTTTACATTTCCTGTATGAGAACCTGAAACCATATTGGCTACAAATGCACACTTGATTTAAGAATGGGTCATTAGAATGTTCTGCCATGCATTAATAACCTTTCCATGTACTAAAAGAAGGCTCAAGGGAACAGTTATGGCTGAACCTGGTCATTTTGGAGAGCAACAGGACAGGGTGATTCCCTCCACCCCTATGCCTTGGTTCAACCCTTATCCAACACCAGTAATTAAATTACAATACATATAATTGGTTGCTACCATGAGGATAGCCTTGTGTTCTGGTGGGGTGGCTGGGAAGATAAAGTGGCTTTTCTTTTTCTAAAATGGGGAGGAGGAAGTTCTTGAAATGGCACAGTATTGCTCTAAGGGAAGGGGATGAGAACAAGTTATGTTAAGAATCCATTTGAAGCTGCCGTGAAAGATTTAAGGAAGAGAAAATGTAATTTTCCAAATTGAAACTTTGGCAATTATACCACTTTTGCCTCGGGAAAAATGCCCAGAAAGTTTCAGTAAATGTAAGTGATCCTAGCATCAGCTGGCACTGTGGATTTTCATAGTACAGACTCAATGCTAGTATCACACTTATTTAGATATATTTCAAAAGCAACCATGAATCTTCTCTGAAGAACATAAGACCCTCCTGCTGCACCATGGTTGAGCAGATCTAGGGGACACAAAGCAACTGACGGGACAAAAAGCCTGACATAGCAGAAGAAAAATAGTTGATCTTTTTAAAATAGATGATGCATCTCTAAAAGAAAAAAAAAACAGTTTATGACAGCATGGCTTAAAATACCTAGAGCTTATATAAGTAGCATCAGATGGATGATGATGAGGATGGTAGTACTTATTCATATTTGTATCTCACTGTGACTCATATCAGGGTGGTATACGTGGGTGTGAGGTACCCCATTTAGCTCATCAGAACAAGCCTGAAAAGTGGATCAGGTTGAGAGGGTGTACCTGACCAGAAAATGTGTTTTCAAACCAAGATCTCCCCGGTGGAATATCAGCCCCCTGCTACACTGCACTGCTCCAGCATCTCTTTGCATGCCCTGCAGCAGTTGCAGCTCAAGTAAATCCTTGGGTCACCAAATTTGGAAAGAATAGTCTACATGGGTAACCGATCGGGGAAAACATAGTTACTGTGGCCAAGAGTGTGCTGCACATCTCCTTTACTCAGTTTAAACATGTGTGCTGCTCCCTATTAAAGAGCTGTAAAAAAAAAGGAACTGTGTGCTTGAAAAGCCAATAAAACGAAGAAAAGGAAACATTTTCTGTTTTCCTGTTCCACTCAGTCTATCCATAATGAATTATCTTAATTAATTACTTTTTTCTTTTTCCCCTATTGACCCCTGTGGGCATATACACCTGGGATTAAAAATTTATTGCATAACACACTGTGGCTGGGACACACATCCTCAAAATTACAAGTCACCACATGTTGGCATTTACTTCCTCATCTCCTTTCACCACCCTTCCTTTTCCAGCTCAGACATGTTCCTGGTGAAAAGGTGTTTCTAAAGCTTCAGCTTTGTTTTATATACTGGCTTTATATAAGCTAGAGCATCTCAGAAAGGACCCTCCCTAATAGGCCACAGATCCAACACATTCCATATGCACTAAGCGTTCTAAAAAAAAAAAGAAAAAAGCGCCAACAGATACAGATAGACTCAGATGGTCTGCACAGGGTGTCCTCATTCCCCAGACACTTTATCTATAGCTGCACCTCTTCTCCTTCTCAAGTATATGGCTGCTTTCCCCTTTCTTCTTCTTCAAGGTATTGTACTTTGCATAGAAAAGAAGGCCAAGTAATCAGTTGATATAGATCAGCATTCCTTTCCTGAAGTCACTTGATTCATGATCTGTGCTGTCATTTTGTTTTACTGCAAGGGCAGACACAGAATGAGTTACCAGCACAGTCCAGCAGTGCTTTGGAGATGCCCTTTGGTGGAAACCGCAACAACATGGTAATCTAGGTCCAACTGATAGGTGCTGCAGCCTTTCCTGCTCTGCTCTTCTTGTGCTCCCCCAGGATGTCATGCTCTTCCATTTATGAATGTGTCCTCAGTCAGCCAGGGCTCCACACACATCCCAGTGGGTGTCCTTTACTCAGCTGACCCAGAAGAAACATGGTTAGCCATGAACATCAACCAACTGGAACTGCAGGACTCTTACAAGTTTTCTGAGGAATCTGCTGCATTAAAGGTCACTTTGTATTTTAATAGGGGATCCCAAGAGGTACAACACAGAATCAGAATGAAAAATTGAAAGGCCAGCAGCTTCTTTCACAATTAAACAAGACTGTATTGATATCAACATGTTCAGTAGAAGTTATGCCACTCACAGAGACGACAGCAACAAACCAGATTTCACTGGCACATAGTGTGACACTATGACACAACACAGCAAAACACCAGGTGCATGTCCAGACACAAATTTTTAAAAGTGGCAGGCTAGTAAAGCAGAACCTTGATCCTGGCTAAGTCCAGAATATGAAGTAACAGATCTCCAAACTGTCTATTTCAATTCATGTGAACTGGTTTATAGATGTGATTGTGCCCATATGATCTTGTCTGGCCATTTGATGACCTATGTACAAGAAGTCCCCAATCCCATAATGATGGCAACCTGAGGCAAAAGCGTTATCATAATTGCAGATAAAGATTTGCTAAGGATCTCAGAAAAATCTACAAAGGACTCAAATGAATTCAGTAAATTCTCTGGACTTGTAGGCCAGTTAATTATATTTTATGCACACACAGTCATAGAAAAACATAGTTTTTTTAAATGTTCATTTTTCCTATAAAGAAAAGTGTGAGAATAAGTTTTGGGGGGATTTGTGTTTGTTGGAGGGATTTGCACTTTTCTGCAAATTTGCACAAACATCTAAGAATGCATTTGCACAAAATCAAATGTTTTCAATGAGCATTTGATAGAATTAAAGGCACCCGACAGTCTGCGAAATGAGAGAATGGATTTTACACTGCTCATACACCCATCAGATTCATTGTCCTCCTGGAAGCACCAATTCATGCCCGATGGAGCCCCACATTATTCTGGCAAGGGTAACTACATGGTGAGTGTCACTAGATGGTAGCTACCTGGAAGTGCATATTAGATAAGTCAAGGTGCTTCCTAAAACACTGCAAAACCGCTCAACATATTTCTGAGCTGACCCATATTGGGAAATAAACTGAGTTCACCTCAGCTGAACTTCAGAACTCCTTTTTTAGCAACTACCAACTAGCTTATTTCCCTCTATCTAACCCTACATGTCCTAACATCATAATAAAGCTTTTGATGCATCTCTGTGCTTAGTGAAATTTTAGATTATAACTGTGGTTTGCATTAACAATAGCAAAGCTCAAATATTTCTTGATCTGACAGAAATTTCAGATGCATGCCAGATAAAAGCTGAGCCACAATGGCCTTTAATAATCAATAATTATCATTTTCATTAATTTCAGTGTCATTAACATAGCTGAAGCTCTCTGGGTGGTTTACAGCAGTAAAACAGTAAAACATTAATAGCTCAGAATTTGAGGAAGAATGTTTGGCCCAGGAGAAAACCTTCTGTTCCAGGGCTGTAGAACTTCAGACCAACAGGCCCTGTCTGGCATTCCGGAATTTTCTAAACAGACACACCTTTTTTCCTCACATTACCAGTTGTGTGGTGATTTCTGGCTTTTGTAGAGTTTGCCTTCCCATCCCAAAATGTTGACATGCCTTTCCTATGATATAATCTCTGGCAGTAACATCATGAAGACTGATAATTTCTTACAGAGGTATGGACTGCTCTACTTCTATTGAGATTGCTAAGTGAGGAACTGCAGCATAAAGTGTACCAGCACCCACTGCTGGAATGGAGCATCTCTGAGGTGGAGTTTGGTCCTTGGCCTGAAAGAGGCTGTACCCCTGAATCCATTGCCACCACAGGGACCTTTCCTCCCAAAGCAAATACTTTCTTCAGGGAGTGCTTTTTCACTGGGAACACTGCAGGGGTACAAAGGGGCTTAAATGCTCCCTCCTCGCCTGCCCTAGGCCCAGTCCTGACCAACTTCCCCTAGCAAGTCTATTTCCTTCTATCAAAATGGGGTCATCCAATATACGGCCTGCGAGGCCTTGTTCTGCTTGGAGCTCCCATTCCCCTGCAGTCCGGATCCCAGCAATGGCACAAGGTCTCCCAAGGCCCCCGTCCTGCTCTCTTCCTGAGGCTCAGGAAGAGAGTGGGTTGGGCAGGCGACCTCGTGAGAGCTTGCTCCGGCTGACAAGTGCCCTTTGTGCTTGTCAGCAGGAGCAGGCAGGCATACTGAGGAGTGTTCACCTGCCCAAGTGCAAGAGACTCAGTGTGCCTATTCCAAGAAGGAAGGAGGGGCCAGGGGGTCACATGGGAGGGCTTCTGGGTGGGAGAGGGGCAGTTGCTGTACTTGGGCTGTGGTCGGAGAAGGAGCTGCAAGGCGTTCTTCATTTGGTTAGTCCTAAAATCATCTTAAGATTAATTCTCTCTTGTTTAATGGTTCATTGAATATATTAATTGTGCATATTAAATTAAGCAAATATATTGTGAACACTTAATTTATGATATGGAAATGTAATTCATTGTGCAGCCCCAGGTTCCGTGTCAAAGTCCTAATGTAGCGCCTGAGGTATGAAAAGGTGGATTGCCCTATTTTAAAAGTCTGATCGTGTTAAATGCAAGAACACATTTAACTGTGTGTACTTTGATCCTAAGCCCTGTAACCATGCAATCAATATCTTCACTAATCCTCCACATAGCCAGTGAGGGATCTTGTACTCCATTTGCTTTGGCATCATTAACAAAAAAGAGAGGGTATTATTAGAAATATTTGTAAATCAAGCACTCAAAAGTTGGACACAGGGTGATTTAATCAGAAGAGATGGAACTAGAACTTGAACAAAGGCATTTCATCTCTTAAAAGCAGTTTTGGTCCAAGGAGAAATGCATGGCACAGAGTCTATGCTGAGTGGAGGTATCAGGAAAGCCAAGGAGGTGTATGAGAGCTAAACCTGGTATTGAGCACAGCTGTGCGTATCTTCCCCTAACATGCTCTTTTTTTTAACCACAAGACATCATGGGAGGCAGCAGCTTTGCATGGAGGAGCAGAGGTGTGGTAGAGTGACCCCTTATGCTTCCTTCACCAAAAAAGATGGTGACATTTGCATAATGTTTGTACATGCAAATACAGATATGTGTGAGAATTTAGAAATACTAACTATAATTTCAGTAGAAAATATGATACATGGTGGAGAGGATTGACTAGAGGTGCAATCCAGTTCATATTGAGACAGAAAAACGGTCTACACAGCATTCCATCAACCAGCCTAAGTATTCTGGCTATGCTGAATGGGAAATGTGGGAAACACCAGAAGTTGTAGATTACACCTGCATTGTCATGGGCAGCTTGTATTATTCAGGTGCTAATGGGTAACTTCAAGGCCCTTTTCTTCTCCTTCTTTCTGGTTCTTTGCTTTAAACCAGACATGGACAGCTTTGGAACAGAGGAGTGTCTTCTGACAACTCCCTGAAATAAAGGGCTATCACCCATAAAGTAGGATACCTGGACACTAGGATGGAAGAAGGAGCTGCATTAACCCTTTTCCATGTGGCTATTTTTCTAGTCAAAATGCTATTTCAGTTATGCTTTTCTCCTCACAAGGAAAAAAAATCCAAAACTTCTGGCCTTTCAAACTTGAAAGGCACTTTCACTGCATTTCTGCATAAGCATGAGGGTTAGTAACCTGTTTTTAAACAAAATCTATGAGTTCAGAGGCAATGAAATTGACAAACAGATTACTGCAGCCATAGTTTTCTTTGCTTAGGGTCTCTTTACAGTTATCTTACTGGTGATGAAATGGAATATACAAAGAAAGGGCACAGCCAAGGATATGCCAGCTGGACCTCAAATTTGTGCTGCCGCTTTGACAACAGTACACTTCTATGGCAATACCTGCTTCATATTCACAATGCAAATAAAAGTGCCTTAATTTGTTGGAAACTCTCCTTTCTGAACCTTACTGAACTTGGAAGCAAACCCTGAAGCTGGAAAGGCGCCAACATACTTGGCTGTAAGGCAACAAGTAAACCTACCTTTACCTGTTGGTTGTTCCCTGTCTTGTTGGAGGCACCAGCCAGAGGAAACACACTTCGCAACAGCCTCCGCTTCAAGCTGTTTTCCCTCGATTTGGAGCCAGGACTGCCTTCCCCGGGAGGTCTTGAGTTCACTTGGCTTCCCTGGCAAGGCTGAGGATAGCGCTCTTCGGAGCTCCTTCTCCTTCCAGCACTCTCTCTGTTTACCCCAGGAATGGGGATGTATTGCTGGTGCTGAGAACCTGAGGAGATGGGGGTGAAACGGCTGTTTGCACCCTGGAATTCCGAAGGGCCCAGGGACTGGGCTTTCATTACAAGGCCATTGCTGTGGGCCTGGCCCTCCAACATGGGTTTATAATCCGGCCATAGGGTTTGCCTTCTAGATGAATTGTTCCCACCGTTGCAGTTGAGGTAGTTCCCGTATTTGTCTGCCCAGTCCGGCTCAGTGCAGTGTGGGTACAGGTCAGCAGGTCCATCTTCTCCCAGAAGCCCCAGTGACTGGGCTCTTCTCCTGCTGGTGGGGCTTTTCCCCCGCAGGGTGTTAGAGCTGATGAGGGAGAGCTTCTGGATGTCATTGAGTATACCGGAGATATACCCCTCCACTTCAAAGGTGCTGGCTCTCACAACCGTCTGCCACAGAATTTGAACAAAACCAAGTTAGTGTGCTAACAGCCATTTGTTCAGATGTGCATTAAAATGGGCATAGCCTAGATCAGCCTTCCCCAACCCAGCACCTTCCAGAGGTGTTGAACTGCAAGTGCCATAATCCCCAGCCAACCTGGCCATGCTGGCTTGGGATGATGGGACTCCACCTGTATAAATCAGAACTACTGTTGTTGAATTATTTGTTTAATGTACATGCCTCCACAGGGCAGTTTATAAGTCTAAACCTCAAAACATCAATAGGATAACAACTAAAAGAATAATACAGTTGAGAAAAATATTAAAATATGAACAGACTAAAAAAAACATTAAAAAGCCAGCTGTAAAACTGGTATTAATGGCTATACATTAAAGCCTAAATGCCTGCTAGGAGAGAAAATGTATACAATAAAGCTGCTGAGAGTGGCATTCCACAGACTGAGGGTCACTCCAGATAAGCCTCTTTTTCAGGCAGATCAACATATCTGAAGGGAAAGTCTGCTCTAGATAGACTGGACCATGGGCCTGCACATACATATGTGAATTGGCCCCATGTCTCATAGGGTTTACGAATCATATTTTGTTTTACACTTCCGGTATTGGCCCCATGTCTCAGGGATTAGGAATTTAGGGAAGAATCATATTTTGTCTACACTTCCTGTACTCAGCCTTCCCCAACCTACTGCCCTCACATTTTGGATCACTAACCTTGCTGCCTGGGCCTGATGGGACTTTGAGTCCAAAACATCTGAAAAATATCAGGTTAGTGAAGTTTAGCTTAACTTGAATTAGGGACTACCTGCAAACAGCAGGACGGTCAAGTGCTGTGAAATCTTTGTCCTGATAAACCCAAATGCCACAGATGTACATCATGCTGCCTTGTGCTCTCCACCATTCTCTTTAATTTCCAGTTCTTTTACAAACACTTTCTGAGTTCCAATTCATACAACCACATATGAGGCTTTTTAAAAATCTGTACAGACAATATAAGAAAGGAAGACCTTGGGTTGTAGCCCATATTAAATGCTCACATGCTGAACCAACTATCTGACACAATCCAGTCTTTTTCAATCCGTCTGCTACCCCTTACTGAGTGATACATTGAAATGCCGAGAGGAAAATAATCTGCAGTACTAAGTCTATGATAATGATAGCTTTACGTTCTAACATGTTAACTCATCAGACAAACTCAGCCACAGTAGGAAATTGGCCCCATTCTGAGCCAATGCGTACTTTGACCATGTAGAAATAATGTTGATTCTGGAATTCAATATTCACATTTCTTGATCCTGGTCTCCTACCTCTACAATGCCTTGCCTGCCTTGCAGTTTAGCCAACTCATTTACTTAGGAAGTGAGAAGCTTGAGAATCTATTAACTAACATCATCTCTTTCTCCACAGGGAAGAAATGCATGCCCTGCCTTTCCCTGGCAACATTCCCAATCCACATGATGCTGGTGGTAGGGAAATAGCTGTCCCTGGAATGAGAGAATTTATTCTGTTTGCTAACAACTGCACACTCTCGCAAAAGACAAGGTGAATTAACTGCAGCACTGAAAACAAATAGGGATCCCAACTAGTGTCATGTGAGGATGCAACTCAGGAAAGGGAGTGTCAGTCTGACCGAGTACCAAGCCAGATTCAAACCCGTCTATGTGCTCTGCAGGAAAATCTGGCTGTGCATTTTAGGAGCAGCATGAGGGATGCTGCTGCTTTGAGCTCAGGGGCATGATGCACAATCCCACGTGGCACACTGGAGGTACTGAGTACTTTTCCACTTGGTTAATCCCAGTCCCACTGAATGACCTACAGTTGCATGGCGGAAATGGCATAAGTATCTGATGGCAGCAGGGTGGGAGGGGTTTATAACACTGTTTTCCCATGTGGGGAGTTTTCACTGGCCACCATATTGCTAATGCCATGTATGCATGGGCCCATCTGGGGGAAAAAAAGCCTGGAACCCTTTAAGGAACCTTCTATCTGCCAGATTCCGTCTTTCCCAACAGTCATAGTGAATGATTCATTACACCTCAGCTTTATCTTAATACACTCAAGGAGCTTCTGGTAGACAGGAAAGAAGGGCATCGCCTCAATTTTACATACCTAAGGCCATGTTGGCTGAGGATGATGGGACTCGTCCAGCAAAACACTCCTAACATTACTAAGTGTGGCCATCCTGAAAAGCCCCAGAATCTTGTCTGATTGGACGCTTGCTTTCTGCCCTGTTGGATATAGCTCTTCCTGCAGCTGCTCTGGACTTCCCTGAGGACTGCTGTTTGCTTGCTTGCTTTAGCCTCCAAAAGATTCCCAGGCACTCCTGCATGTGCTGTGCTTTAAGCTGCATACTTTTTGTAAGTGCTGGACTGACTTTGGTGTTGTACCAATGCAAGGTTATTTAGACATAATTTTTCAGTCAGGTATTTGTTTCTCCTATTCTTCAGACATTAATAATTTAATCAAACCCTGAGTTAGGAGCCTGAGGACAGTGGAATAAGCTTTTGCCACTCAGAGGGTTTGTGTCACCCCTGTGCTAGCCGTCATGCTGAAAGCTATTTAGGGTGCCACAGCCCCTGCATCAAATACTGGCAAGGCTCTGAACTCGGGGGCTTACAATCATTCAGGGCAAGGCACAAGGCACTGCTATGCCTAGCACACTGCGTTTGATCTAGATGGGCATTTCTGGCTGTCTAGATGCATTGCCAAGGAGAGAAGAGAAGGAAGCAAGGTGCTGACTGGAATCAGTGCCACTCAGGGAATTTATTTATTTATTTTTCGATTTATATCCTGCCTTTTTCCTACAAAGGGCTCAAGTAGCTCACATCATTCTCCTCCTCCATCTTATCCCCACAACAACAACCCTGTGAGGTAGGTTGGCCTGAGTGTCTGTGACTTCAGGAATTCAGTTTCCTTCCTTTTCCACCCCTCAGCATGTCCTCTTTTCCCTTCTAGAAGCCCAGTGGTGATGGAGAAAGTGCAGCCAGAGCAGGTAAGAACATCAGAAAAGCCATGTTGGATCAGGTCCATCTAGTTCCACACTCCCTATATATGGTGGCAAGCCAGTTTTTTTCCAACAGGGCAGGGTGGAGTCCCAGCCTCCATAGTCCATGCACTGAGATTTGCTGCCTGTCCTCCAAAAGCTCCTGGGGTCTCCCAGATGAAGTCCAGAGGCCACAGGATTGTGCCCTTGTAGGGGACTAGAGAGTCCATTCTCCAGTCCAGATGAAAGTAAAAGTACATGGGTGGTTACAGAGCTTGCTTATTCAAGAAGGAAGCAGCACTCAGCTCATCTTACCTCCAAAAGAAGGGGACAGTGTGGCACCTTCATGCTGCAGAGCACAAAGCCTCATTGCTCAGAGGCTTGCAGCTAAGCATGTGAGCTGCCCCCACTGCAAAGCATGGGATATGAGGAGGCCGCCTGGTGACATGAGAGCTCTCAGTGCAGCATCTCACCTGTGAGGGCTCTTCTGCCCCTGCAAGTCATCACTAGATATCACAGCCCTTCTGCTTGGCCTCAGCTCACCCCCACCTGTGACCCTCTGAGCTAAACACAGCCCATCGGGTACATCTGGTATCTTGCAGGGGTTCAACAAGCCTCTGATTCAGCTTGTCTGCCTAGGACACCCCCCCCCCACTCAAAAGGGGCCCCTTCCAAATATTTGGCAGAATTCGAATTGGTGGAAGCTGTGCTGAACTCAGCCCTGAGGGCCTCTCTGTGAGGAATTCAGCTGCAGGCCTGGCCTCCTGTTAGGCATTAAGGAAGCAGCCAGCTCAGGCAGAAGGTGCTTTAGGGCAGGCAGTGACAGGCATGTAGGAAGAAATGCTGCGAGTGCCACACAGCTTGTCCTGTAGCCCCTAAACTACGAGTGCCACACAGCTTGTCCTGTAGCCCCTAAACTACGAGTGCCACACAGCTTGTCCTGTAGCCCCTAAACTACAAACATACAAAGCCCCTAAGCCTTCTCTCCAAATATATTCCTTGAGTGTGTTACAAGTGGAAGCTCTCCAAGGCTTTGGGGAGAAGGCAATCCAAGGGCACTTCTAGATGGCTGAACCAGTATGTTTGACACCTGCAAGAAACCAACGGTGTGTTGAAGCCAGGTCTCACAGGGATGCAAGGCTGGTGCTGCTTTAAAAAAAAAAAAAAAGCAGCGTTGCTACCTCACTCTGCTCAGGATTCCCTCCCCCCTCTTAACCACAAACTATGGGCTTGAACTTGAATGAGAAATTCCAACCCAGTAACTTTACAAAAGAGTAACTCCTGCTGGAAAAAAGAGTGCAAAGACTGCTCTCTTGGCACTGATCAACACAGCAGCCTGAATTTTTGGACTCTCTATGGTAACTGCAGTGATGAGTACCTACACTTCAAAGTTCACCACTGCCTGCAACCCAGCCCAGATGGGCACTGTAATACTTCTAGTCCATGCTGACTAGTAGGCGGTATGGATGCCTGCTAGTTCAAGAAGTTCACCTGGTGGGACAGACTGGCTATGGAATTCCCCTAGAAAGGAGGCAAGAGCAGTCCTGTCCTTGGTGGTGTTTAGGCAGGCAGTGAAAACTTTTTTATTATGAGTCTGTGTGGGTTCTAACATATGATTGAAGGTTTTAACTCAGTTCCATTTGATGTTGCGATTTTGGTTTTCTTTGTTGTTACTTAGGCTTTGTTTTTACTTTTTTAATTGTGTAATACTTTGGCAGCCTTTACTCAGGCCAAAAAGCAGCTTTTATAAAGAAATAAAATTAGTCTAGGTGCAACATACACTATGACAGTAGTGCCAAGTCCCTAGCTAAGCAGCATCTCTTCCTCCAGGCAATCCTCCTCTGCCACACATCTCTTCTGCATCTAATGCTGCTATCACTGAAGGAAGCGGCCATCCGGAAACACCCTAATCACTGTTCTTTTCAAGTGCAGCAGTATAATTCTAGAACTGCCTGTCTTCCCCCACCACCACCCCCCAAATATATCAGTGGGGAAAATTATTTGTGTACACAGCAGATCAAACTTGCTTGAGGCCTATTTAAGTTCCTTTTTGTCTTGTCATCAAGATCCACTACTGGAGGTTGTATAACATGCAGAAAAATCAATAATGAAAGTGAAATACATCTTTTGTACTGGGTGAAGCAGATTGTAGCCCACAGGTGGACAGAAAGTGGAGCATCAGCTATTTTGGATCAACTCCCATCATCCCCAACTATTGGCCATGCTGGCAGAGGCTTCTGGGAAGCCCAAAAGATCTGGAGTGCTTCCTTCTACCTACTCTTGCCTGAGTCCACAAACACTTAGACTATTATAAGCTCATTAGCTTTTAAGGTATCACAAGAGACTCTCTTTTATTTTAGTTCTCCCCCCCCCCCCGCCTTTCTTTTTGGATGGCTTGCAGTAACAGACTAACTATTGCCACTGGAAATGCTTTCCCAGAAGTTCCTCCATGCCTTGTGATGAAGATGAAGATTTTGATAGCACATTCCAACAGTGTTTTCCAGGACTCCATAGCTCTCCACTTGTGTACACGTTCATCACGGACAGAATATTAACAAATGGTAATGTATCAGAACAATGATCTCACGTAAGTGCTGCTTGATCAGGAAGGGTTCTGAGTAGTGTTCCTATTTCTTTCTTACCTTCATAGGCTGAAGCTGAACCCGAGTGATCCTCGAAGGGTCTACAACTGGTTTGGGCCGTTTTAGGGTGTCCAGGATGTTCTGCCATTGAGGAGGCAGGCCAATAAATTTCCCCTCCTTTGGGTCAAATGAAGTATGGACACGGTGCTCAAAGTTCTGTGGAGCAGAGATCTCAGGGCGTTTCTTCTTTTTCTTGCGAAACATCGTGCCTGGATGGGAAAGATCAAATGCATTCGATTTGTTTGGACTATTATCCAGTTCGCTCTGCAAGCAACAAGTCACATGTATCAACTAGTGGTCCCAGTCTGCGATTCACATCCCCAAACCCACCAGAAAGCCAGGTGGCTAGTTTGAAAACGAGCAGAACATCACAATCCAGCAAGGCTATGTACTCAGATATAGGCTATGATCAAGGAAAGTATATTTATGAGAGCAACAGCTTTACAGTAGTAGCAACAGAAGTTGCCTTGCGATGATGTTTATATTTCTATCCCACCAGTTTTCCTCTTTCAAGGAACCCAAGCAGGTTATATAGCCCTCCTCCTCCCCTTCCCTATTTTATATGCACAGCTTCCCTGTGAAACAGGTTAAGCTGAGAGTCAGTCAGTGACTAGTCTAAAGTCACCCAGTGAGCTTCATGGCCATGCAGGGACTAGAACTCAGGTCTATCCAGGCCCAATCCTCTACTCTTGATGCTTTGTCATGCTGCCTTTCAGGGTGAGCCCTTTGGCACACTAGGCCAGTGCTGCCAACATGAGCAGCAGCTCTCCAGGCAGGAATTCTTCTGGGAGCCAGGGACTCTCCTCCATCAGCACCCTGAGAGAGGTGGCTCCACTTGCTGGGGAATCCAACATCCCAAGAGTCTGTGTATTTTAAATATATGTAAACATCTCAAGAACTTCAATTAGCAGGAATGAGTGGGCAGGGGGTGTTGTTATATATGCATACTAGATAAATGACTTTGCAAATATGTATTAGGATAATAAATATTTATTAAGGTTTAATTAGTCAAGGAGCTTTGCAAAAACATGCAGCTTGGAAGATTCGCATCAGAAGTAATGATCCTTTTGCTGGGATGCAATATCCGAGGATAAGGTAGCTCAAGAAAAGAAAGGGTGTCCACGCTGACTCAATTATTAATAGTTGCATATCTGTCAAATTCACTTCATCTTCACACAGGAAGTGGATCGCAACAGTAATCATCCCCTAGGGTTCGTAGTGTGCAGAAAACAGTGAAATCAAGCACTCAGAGGTTATGGTGTTACTAAGTTTCCTATTTTCAGCCTCATAAATACGAGTCTTAGGGCATGTAAAGCTTGCCTAGAATACAAGCTCACCTACCCTGTTCTTTTCTGGAACAGATTTTAAGACAGCACCAGCAACAAGGTGTGACTAGTGCTGTTGTTCATTTACTGAGCAAAAATAAAGACATTAAGAGATACAAGCCCATTTAGTAAACAACTGAGTCACAGTTCAGCATGTATGTAAAAACACATTGTCTTTTCCTTGAGTCTCCCTGGAACCCTCCCCTGCAGATACTGGAACCAAGAAAGGGAAATCATTATTACTCTAGCAAATTGCCTAAGTCCTGATGCAGCAATGTGTACTTGTGTGGAAGAGCTAGTTTTGCAGCCTTTCCCAACATTTATTTCTATAAATCAGGCTGGGAATCCCCCACCCCACCCTTCTTTCTATAAACTTGAACACGGTTCATGAAGGGCAATAAGCCCACTTTCTAATTATTATTTCATATACTATTGTTATTATTACTGTAATTATTTCATTATTCTAATGTATTCTAGTAACCGCCTGTCTGCCAAAGACCCCCTCAAAGAACCTCAAGGCAAAATGCAACTTTGCTCCTTTGTTTTTACACAGCAGGGAGTGAATGCTCAAGAGCTGGAAGTGCAAGGAGGAGAAATATGCATTCTCAAAGCGCCCTTTTAATTTTATTTAGAAGCTGGAGATTTGCAGGGCAGGAGGGGAGGGGGTGCTTTTACATTCCAAAAGGAGTGTGGGAGGGGTATGTCAGTTGTTACTGTTGATGTTCCTGAAACTTTCCAAGAGTTATGCAGCCCCTCCAACATACAGCCAAATGGCCCTGCCTTCTCTTAGCAAGACCTCACATGTACAGGATGGCTCCAACTAGACTAGCTTTCATGAGAGAAGGCACTTGGATTGTGCATTGTGTGGGCAACATTTGTTGCTCTGTTAGCTCATCATTCAGGGCAGGGGTGAACAACTTGCTGCCTTCTCAGTGACTGGAATTAAATTCCCATAGACCCTAACCATCAGCCTTGCTGGGTACTACTGAGGACTGATAGGAGTTGTGCTCCAAAACACTTGTAGGGCCATAAGTGACCTGCCCTTGGGGTGGGCAACCTGGTATCCTCCAGATATTTTGGACTACAACTTCCAGGAGCTCAACAAGCACAGCCAATGGTCAGGAATTATGCAGGTAGTGAAAAACATCTGGAAGGTACCAGGTAACCTAGCTTAGCCCTCTGTTAACAACATATCGGCTTGCTAGAATACAGCCATTTACACAGAACACAACCAAAGGTCAACATAGTTAGTGCTCTATAAACATTAGCATTGTCCTCCAACTATGGGCAGCTTCAGCTTTTGCAGTGCTTTCCACCATTCAGCAGATTTCAGCTGCCTGTACAATGTTTCAGCTTCATAAGGAGCTCTCCTGAGCCTGCTCGCTACCACAGTTCAGATATTTTTTGCTCTAAATTTGGGTCAGAAGCAGAGTGTGAATTTAGTAGGAATAATTTGCACTGCAGCAGACACAGACATTTCTGGCAATATTTGCATTACACATCACGCTTCAGTGTCACGCTTACTAACATGATCATATTCTATATTGTTCATGTAGTCAGAGCCAGATAGTACCGTTGCTTCAAGCAAAATGTAGCGGACACGCTGCCTGGCATTCTTTGCAATGCTGCTCTATTTTCTAGGGGCCAGCACCATAACAGATGGATAGTTATCCGTCCACAAGATTGCCCAGGCTTAATGAGCAGTTTATAAAAAGAAAGAACTGTCACAATTCAAATATTGCCCAGGAATGGTGAGCAACATCCTTATTGTGAGGACAGGCTAAGGGAAATAAAAACACAAATTGTCCAGACGGTGAAGGCTATGGAGGCAATTGTGCATGGTGGCAGAAGGAGCAACCAAACTACATCAGATTCCCTAAAATGAAGCCATCGAACTGGCAAACAGCATTTGGCTGGCAAACTGGAAGCTGAGCTGAGTGCTTCTAGGTCAGGGGTAGGGAGCCTGGAACCCTCCAGATGTTGATGAAATACAACTCCATCACCTCTCGCCACTGGTCAGACTGGACAGGGCTAATGGGAATTGCTGGAGAACAACATCTGGGGGCCACAGGTTCCCCAGCTTTGTTTCAGGTCATTACAGACCTGCCCAGCATCTTCCGAAGTACCATGCGTGCCTCTGTCCAAGGCTGCTCTCATCTGTGCTTCACAGCATGTCAAAGTGCTGTGCTGTGCTGTGACTGGAGCACAGGATTATCTCACATCACAATGATCCTCCTTAAACCAGCATGTTTTGCTATGGTTAAATGTTTTGACTTCCCCAGCCTGGTGCCCTTCAGATGTGTTGCACTGCAACTCCATGCTGGCTGGGAATGATGGGAAATGCAGTCAAGCAAAAGCCTGAGGAGAAGAGTATGGGTCCACTTGAGACACCACGTAAATGCTGACCCTTCATGCTGATACCATGCTAGAATCCTAATAGTGTAATAATTGGTACCGTCAGAATCATAATGGTTGACTCACAGTTGCTACAATTAACCAATTTAGTGGGATCAATAAATAAGTAATACCTACCTATGTTTCTCTCCTTCTAAGATGCACACCTTATTGTGGTGAGGGGGTTTGGGAGTGTCAGAGAAGCCATAATCAGTCCTGCCAAGAGGCCAGGCTCTCTCACTAAGCTGGTCTCCTAGGGTGACCCATAGCAGAATGGTCAAAGCTGAGACACTAGACTAAGATGCGTCTACCCTCTTTTGGAGTAACAGTCATATCAGCAGAAGAGATTATGATGGGGGTGGAGAAACTCCTGAAGGGCAGCTACTGGGCGGAAGCAATAGTTGAAGGTGATACTGGTGAGGGGATCTCTCACAGACCGTAGTAGTGGGGTTCAACTAACCCTGGTTAGTACTTCACAGAAGGAGCTTATATACAGAGGTGAAGGAAAGTCTGATGCTGTACAACACATACAATTGGGACACGCAACATGAGAAGTATGACTCAAGACAAACTGGAAACTGTAAAGCAGGAAATGGAACAGCTAAAGATCATAGTACTTAGCGTGAATAAACTAAAGTGGACTGGAATGGAACATTTCCAATTAGACAAACACAAAGTGTTTTACACCAGAAATGACAATCTCAAAAGAAATGGAGTGGTACAAGCAAAATCTGACTGAATAATATTAATTAGAATTCTCAGAAAAACTATCAAAATAACCATCATTCTAGTCTATGCTTCAACAGATGCTGAAGTAGAAAAAACAGAAAACATTTAAACAAATGTCCAAGAAAAATGTATAATAATCAAAGCAAGACATGCTGATGCTAGGTGACTGGGATGCAAAAATGGGAAACAAAGCAAGTTCAAATGTTGTGGGAGAATTTGGCGTAAGAGTCAGAAATGAAGTAGGAGAGCTGCTCCAAGAATTACGTAAAATTATCTGTTCATACAACAATCAGATGACTGTGCACAGGGACATCACCAATATAGAAATCAAACAAATTACATAATTGAAAGTTGATAATGGAGAAGCTGCACTTTTGCAGGACCACTTGTGATAGTGATGATGACAATCAGAACAAAACTGAAAAAGATAGTTAACAGAAGCGCAGTGCCAAAATACAATTGAAAAAACATTCCTGAAGTCCATAGGAAGAGCAGATTTGCATTACTGAACTCAACTGACCAAGAACTAGAAAAACTATGGTCTGACACTAGAGATCTCATTAGGGAAGAATGCTTCCCCCTGCCCCCGCCCCCCAAAAAATCCTGTAGCAAAACAAAAGAAAACACCTAGGTGGGTGACAGAAGAAATGCTTACCTTTTCTAAGGACATGCAAGAAGTAAAAGATGGCAGAAATAGGGTTCGAAGCCCAAATGCAACTTTTCAGAGACAATCATGTAGAGACAAAAAGAACTATT